ATAGTCTAGTGTACAGACGTTACAACGGCTGATTAATAAGGAATTTTCATCCGAGGAATTCGAGACCTGACGAATAATTTCATTACCGAAAAGAGATTAAAGACAAAAGCACGAGCGCATAAGATATGAGAAATATGTTTTTAAATGTTGACTATATCATTAGGCGTAAAATAAAAAATACAGCAAAATTTTTAATTTAATAGTGTCTTTATAGCCCGATTAAGTAAGTCTATTTTTATTGCCGATGTATAAATCATTGGTCACGTAGGAAATATAAACGATATTGGATTAAGCCAATAGAGTCGAATATTGATTATTAATCGTAGGGGATAAAATAATAAGAGCTGAGGCATCCGAGGCAACGACAAGTCATTCAGCGAGCGACAAAAAATCCAGCCAAATAATATATAATATATCTAATATAAGAAAATCTCGATTTTGTGCCAATTGCAGATGGCTTTACATGGAGCACAAGAAGGACGAGGCATTGGAAAAGGAGCAAGAAGCTCTTGCCTCGAAGCCCAAAGGTAAGGCGGAGCTAGAGTGCCGACTCGAAAACGGCTTGACGCTTGTTAAATCGAGGAGCGTCTCGGAGCTGACGACGGTCAAGCCGACGAATGAAGTCACGGGCATCGATAACGCGGCCTTCGAGTCGGAGAAACTGTGATCACTGCTGCCACCGCCGTTGCTAATGCTAATGCTGCCGCAACTATCGCAGTAGTGCCGATTATAGTACGAAACATGCGTGGGTTCGGCGACGATGTCGTACGCCTCACGCGCAATGCCAAAAAGTACGATCGAGTGGGGCGAGGAGAGGAGACGGAGCTTTCTGGTCAGAAGCTCGATCAGCCTCGCGAATACTTGCCTACGGGTATTAAGCTTGTCTGCGTGTGCGTGCGAGTGCGTGCGCGTGCTTGGGTGTGCGAATGAGCGATAATACGTGCGTGTGTTAACTCTGTCCGAGCAATTTTGAATCAAAGTGGAAATGGCTCGCTTCCGTGCCTTTTTGCTACATAATGACGTCCATACTTTAATATTATGGCGGAATTTTTCCCGGATTCACGACTCGTGCATTTGGCCAAGTCGCTTTTTACGCGTATCTACTTTATATACATACTTCGATTATTTTATTAAGCTAATGATTTTACGAGATACCGGTTGGTACAGCAGCGATATATAAAAAAATATATATATATATATATATATATATATAAAAACAAAAAAAAACATAATGCTTACTTTACGCTAGACAAATTAAATGTTACAAGGTCTTGAGCAGCACGGTATATTTGAGAAATTGTTTAATCAAACATATGAAAATCAAATAAGTACGGGAAATATGTTTTATAAAATCCTTGAGTTCCGTACTGATATATGAAATAAACGTTTTAATTATTCCACGTAAACCCTTGTATACTTCTTTGCAACAGTCAGGGTAATTGAAAAATTTTTTAATATTTAGATAATTAAATTATCTAGCAAGCGATTATTAATCTATAAATTAAATGTAATAAAATACACAGATATTTTAAACGTCTACTACAACTTAAATATTAATTAGTATTTTAGTATTAATAGATTTTTTGCTTTGATTCAGAATTGCTCACGAAGTTAGTAATGTTTTGAGATAAACATAAATTATGTATTTAAGTAAAAATATATTTAAATCAGAGATTTATATGAACATTTATAAATTTAATTTAAATAAACCACTTTGTTTATAAAGCTTAAGCTAATTAAATGCGAACGATATTTAGCGAGAGCAACCGAAAATGTTGTCGATTGAAGAACTACTAAAGGAAAAAGGTAATGCTTATACATTTAAAATTAATTGCTTTTATGTAACAATAATAATAGTAATAATAATAATAATAATAATCATAATAATAATAATAATAATAATAATAATAGTAATAATAATAACGATAATAATAACGATAATAATTATAATGATAAAAATAACAATATTAATTATAATAACAACGACGACGACGACAGCAACGACTACAACAATTGTTATCATAATAAAAATAATAATAATAATAATAATAATAATAACAACAACAACAACAACAACAATAATAATAACAACGAAAGCAACAAAAAATAATAGTAATCATAATATCAACGACAACAAAAACAACAAGAACAACAACAATAATCATAATGATAAAAGAAATTAAAATAAAAAAAAAGAGAAAATTGAAGAATAAAAGAAAAATGCACGTATATTTTACGACGTATAGAAATGTGAAATATATTCGTACTGAGTTCATTCAAGATCATGTACTGTCAAGGCAAATTTCATTATTCTTGAACTAATCTATAATATGCGGTGCCTTGTTTATCTTTGATAAAATAAGCAAGAAAAAATTTACCTTTTTATACATAAATGGGAAAAAGAAATTAATATTTTCTTACTCGGGGGGATTAGTAAAAATTTTTTTCAGTAGATGAAATCAATGTTAAAAATATTATTCGAAAAAATATTTTTGAGCCATAAAGACAAAAAAAAAATTTCCATTTCAAATGTGCAATAAAAAGTATATACTGCGTGATATAGTATTATATTGTATATAATTAGACATTCTACGTATCCAGACTGTCTAGCGTTCGTAAAATAAGAAATAATTTACCTGATAATGATGAAACAGTATTTACGTAAGGACGTTGGAAATTCGATATCCTTTAAATATAAAATTGTATTATCGACAATAATTAAGATCCAAGCTTATTAATCTATAAATATTTAGGTATGTAACAAATATATTTTCGAATAAAATTTTGATGTCTTTACAAAGTTCATTTCTTACGATTATATACGGATATAATGAAGACGAGATTAATATAATGTTTTATAAAACTGTGCTATTTTAAATAATGAAAATTATTTTTTTGAATTTTTTATACATCAACTATGTAAACAAAGAATTGCGACAATATTTTTATAAAAAATTTCCATCAATAATATTCGATAAGAACTCGAAATAAGAAGTAATTTATATAATAAGAATTTAATTTATCGATTTCATTTAAACATCGTGTAGATTTTATTGTAAATAAATAATTGTACTTAAGTAGCTTAATAATTCTTCAATAGAAATCCATTAGAATTTCTGTAGGTTGTTTCAATGATTTTAAGTCGAAGTGAAAATTAGTACCAAAAATATTGTATTATAATTTAAAGATTAATATAATATCTGCGTTATTTATTTAACTCCTGTGCGCAATGAAAAATTGTTTAAACTTTAAAATAAAAACATTTGAAAAGTAATATATTTTTGACATCTAGTGTTTTAATTTATTTTTTAATGCGTCCTTATAATATAATACATAAGTTATATTAAATACTTTTTCCGAGATAAACATTTATTATAATAATTAAAAATAAATAAAAAATAAATATTAGATATGTTTGAAATACGTCAATATACTGTAGACGTTCAAAGATTTAATTTTTCACACGATAAATTGTAAAAATTATTTTTATAAATTTTAAAAATTCGATTAATGTTTATATATAATATATGTACGTACAAGTTGTGCAAATGTAAATGCAATATGTGAATTTGGTATATAAATCTTATTAAACTCGGCCCCTTTCTATAAATATAGTGATTACATTAAATTTATATGTTAAATTTGATAATGGAAAGTATTTATTTCATTTTATAGTTTAATTTTTACTATATTAGTCCTTAGAGAATAATATTATCATTTGTAATATCATTCCTTTCTATTGCTATATTTACATAGTAATTTGCAGTAGTACTAGTTATATTATAATTTTACTTAATTATTTGTATAGATATTTAACGTATAAAATGTTTATTTAATTAAATGATTTAGGAGAATAATTTTATGATACCTGCAAGATAAATTTTGAGCAATACCATCATTTTTCTAAATGTAAGATTTCTAGATGTAATATTTATTTATCTTACTACATCAACAATCATCTCGGTACATCAGTAAATATATTTATTTAAAAAATAATTACATTAACGCAATTAGTTCAATATTGCATGATAATTAATATTATTGTATAAAAAAAGAAGCCCCGTTTGCAGTAAAATATGTTACCTACAATCGGCCATTCATCAAAATAAGCGATAATATGTTTCTGAATATTTTCAGCTCAAAAATAATAGAAACCATAATAAAATAGACCAGATTTTAAGAAAATTTTCTATTAATTTAATTATATATATAATATTGAAAAACGCTTGAGAAAATCAGTTCTTCTACAGGGTTTGTCATCACTGCTTTGTAAAGCACTACAATTTCGCAATTACTGCTTTGGAAGTTCTTTTTTAAGACTTCAGGCACTTGGAATATTACACCTGAATTATAAGGACAATAATTAATGGCAAAATCTTAAAGAGCAAAATTCGTCCTTATATCGATAATCAATAGCTATTAAAGGCTCTCATACTATGCACTTTCGTCCTTCGGTATGAAGCTTCTTCGTGAATAGTATCATCGACACCTAGCTTTTCCCAATATATCATACAAATATTTTGTATGATGTCAAAACGCTAACATTGATATAAATTTGTACACCTCTTATAGAATTATCTTCATATTTATTATTGTAATAGATGACAAAGTGAACCACTACATGAGAAACAGGATAAACGAGTATTCGTTAAAGCCCACATTAATGGCAATTTAGTCTGAATAAAAAATATGATTGTTTATTATATTATTTAATTAAGAGTAGGAATTTTCATTGAAATCGAGCTTGACGAAATGATCAATAATACGAATAGAGTAATTTTTATGGAAGCTTAAGTAAAGTATTCGTTGTGATTACCCTGTTTTTGAAAAGAATTTAGAAATTTGTACGTGCGCTGCTAGGATTCGTAGGTCATTTATAAATCACTGCACTAAGTGCATTCCACGTAAAAATAAAGAATTCTAAACAACCAATACATGAAGAGTGGTTATATTTTGGGAAAAAAAGTTTTAGACTCCTATCGGTGCTCGATAACAAAGTCATAATTGCAAGTGCGCGAAGATAGTCAGGAGAATAACAAAACAAAAGCAATTTACGTGGATAACCTAAACGAGAGTTTGCTCCCGCCTCGCGAACAACGAACCTCTTAACGTTCGCGTCGCGCACGACGAGGGTCCACGAGAATACGGGAAAGAAGGCCGAAAGCCACGCCTCGTCCCGGCACCTGGAGGATAATGAGGATAAAGCGAAGGTTCAGAGACGAAGACGGGACATGTGGGCGCAGCTGCCGGAGCTGATCCTCACGCAGGTTTTCGGGCACCTGAGCGGACCTGATCGAGTGAACGCCGGTCAGGTCTGCCGACACTGGGGGCGCTGCCTAGGTTCGCCCTCCCTCTGGCGACGCTGTACCGTTCACATAGATCGTGACCTTAGCATCGACTGCTCCATTGCCAGCGAGCTCGCGGTCAGTTCGTTATCCGATCTCTCTAGTTTCGATTCCTCTGCATTGCATCCTCTTTCCGACCCTCTGCTCACCCACTACTTATATGTTCATTTCCGTATGTTGTTCTTCGAACACCTCGTGAAATATGCTAGTTCAACTGGTAGTTCTCTATAGGGTAAAAATGACTAATGTACTGCCAGGAAACGAGGTTACGTTTCTGATTTGTTTATTATTGTTGCATAAGGACATATAGATATACACACATACATGCATACATACATGCATACATACATGCATGCATACATATACAAAAAACTCATATGTATATGTATATGTATATAGTCTTTTAAGTTTTTATTAAGAAGATAATCCGGTACTTTATTAATTTCTTTTTTTTATTTCGACGTGGCAATAAAAATTATTTTATTATTTTGCTCATTATTAAAGGAAATAAGGGTCAAATTTGATAAGACTCAATAAGGCAGTCTTATTTCGTCCGCATTATATTACATTACGGATATTGCAATATATCATCGAAAGTTTTCACTTTCATTTTAATAATTTTCAAAAGCTCACTAATTATTAATAAAATGAATGCCAACAGTATGGTAATATAATGCGCAGGTCTATCCAATCGTGTCTTACTATAATGGAAGTCTTCTACTTAATGTGCTTTGATATACAAAAATATATCGAGTTATTGTATTTGATGATTTCAATAGCATTTATTTCAACTTTCTTTAAAATAATAAATTCGCTTCCAATTGTTCTATTTTCAATATAAAATTGTGTTTTTTAATGATAATATACATTATCGTGACTAATAAATTCAATACTATATTTATTCATACCATATAACATTTTCGGAAACCATGAATTTTCAACGCTACATAATTATTACGATTAATCGTTAAATTAAATTTTTGATAGAAAAAATCGTAAATTTCATTCGATCAATAATTATTTTTGTATTAGAAACGCTTTAATGTAAATAATGAATCATTCCATTTTCATTTTAAATTTAATTAACGAATTTCAATTCTGATTTTATTATACTATTTAGCGATTACTATTACGTACACATTAAAATCGGTAAAAAAAATTAATTTTAAATTATCAAATATAATATATTGGTAAATATGTTAAAGTTACGATATCAATGCACACAAAGGAGAAGAAGAAAATAAAAGAAAAAAACGCGAAATCTATTAACTACCATCGACTTTAACGAATAAGAAACGAAAGGTTTGTATTATTAAGTGTAAAAAGTCCTAATACGTTATGTAGAATAATATTAGACTAAATTGGAAAAGATAATTAAAGCTGTCCCTCATGCCACATGAAGAAATGAAATAATATGCAGATTAAGTTTGGCGAGTACATGCGAAGCCTGGAATTGGCTTGGTCGAGGCCGTTCATCCTGCCACGGGAGCCACGAATCGCCCGTAGTGTCCAAGCCGAAGCCGGTGCCGACTTCCTGGGTGTAGTACGTGCCAAGAATGTGCAGCTGAAAGAGCTCATCCTCACGGATTGGATATTTAGCAGCAAGTGGGGTAACTGCGGCAAGCTACTCTGCGCTCTTGCTAATTTATTGGCGTGAGTCGTTCATTTTATTTCAATAGACATCGCACTCTTACGTTCCTATTAGCGCTTGCCAATCTTACGTAAATCATTGTTCAAATCGCGAATACCACGTGCTCCTTCGTGGGAATAGATTTTTTAATAAATGTATCGGTGTGGAGGCAATGAAAAGGGACAATGTTTATGAAACTTTATGCGACATCGGTTTGTTCCGTAAATTAGTAAAATATTTGACTGACTTACCCTCCCTCAAATATGAATAATTCAAACATTTCATTTCGAATTGAGCACGCATCCCCATACACATGCATCCTCACACATGCTTACATAATATTAATTAAAATATTTAAAACTTTTAAAATGTATTTATAGTTTTTTTTACTTTTTATTTTTCAATTAAATTATATTTATCACGTATACATGTATGTAAATAAGAATAATATAATTTTTTTGATAATTAAAGCAACAATATAAATGTAAGTCATTTTTAAATAAAACAATTGTATAATAAGAAAATTCTGTCAGTTTCTTTAGACTGACAAATTTTTTACTTTGAACGAGAAAATACTAAATGTCATAAATAAATTTCAAATATATTATTACGATTAAATTATAAAGGTTATTTAAGGACTATTAATTATCTGTGTTTAAATTAATTTTAGATTTAACATTATATGATATTTATATTTGCTATTTGATTAAGAAAGAAAGGCATTTCAATGAAAATTTTACTATGAAAAGATTTACATATTTATATTTAATCATTAATTTAGTGATTATTAAAACAAATCCATAATTCTTTTTAAATATTTAATTTAGCACCCGCAAATAACTATAATTCTAAGCAAAATATAAAATAAATATATTAACATAACATATTAATAAAATTAATAAATAATTTGTGTATAAAACATAAATATTTATTATATCACTACATTTAATAGTTAATATCAATAAGTTAATACACGAGAGAGTGTGCCGCGCGTGATATAGAATGAAAGGGAAATAAATTTTGTTCTTTTGAACAGTTAAATGATAGCTAATGAAACAACAGATCCTATTCATACTGAAATAAATAAATATTGAAAAAGAAATTTATAAATCCGTAAGGAATTATTATTCAATCTTAAATAATGTCATTGGAAGTTCGAACACGTAACTTCGACGTATATCGATGTTTTTATTTATATTGTTTAAATTTGATATTGATCAGATTTTTTATTAATAAATAATCTAGACATATTGAATTGTAGAAAATTATTTTGTTGTTAAGATATATTTTGAAGAATATGATTTAAGCGGAAGTAAAATGTAAAATTCAGAAGCATACTGGAAAAGAATTTTTTATATTAATTATCAATATCTGTTTTAGTAATTTATTTTTATTATGTTTAATTTGCTACACAAATTATTTATAATCATTAAATAACCGTCAATAAAATATTAATTGAATTTTGTTTACCTTTATATTTAATATTCTTCGAGTCCGTATGCATTACATTTTGAAAACGTTTAAGAATCTTAATGAACTCGACCAACAGATTTATCCTATTAAGATTTAAAAATTCACAATTTCTATTTAGAGACAATAATATCATTAATAATTTAATTTCATTAAAAATAATGTAAATAGTGTTCAAAATCATTCTATTTATTGAAAACATAACACTAAAATTATTCCAAGGCTAAAATTAATATTATTGTAAAGTAACATCGTTTTAATAAGCTATTGGAAGGCAAATTTTATTTTCGAGAACAAGATAATTTTATATATACTTTTTAATTCTGACGATTAAATTTAATTTTAATGAAATTCTGTACAAAATGGAAATGTCTTATAGTTTCATAAATTTCTTTTGATTAACATAGTACGGCTTGATCCTGCCAATATTTCAATAACGTGAAATTGTATGATAATAATATATATAGAAATTCATTAAAATATTAAATTTTCTATTTTTTTTTTTAATAATAAAATGATAGATATAGTTTTCAATTAATAGTTGCTTTTCAGTCTTATAATCAGATTTATAATATATATATTTAAATTTTTTTAAGAAAAAACTTATTTATTGGTTATGTGAAAATCATCAAATGAATTTATTAATATTTAGCATATAATCTTTAATAAAATATAAGTATAGTATAGAATATATAATATTGTAAAAAAAACCTTTTAACGCTGATTTTTATAGAATTTAATTAAAACACGGCCTTGAAAAATATTAAGTAAGACCGAATAGAAATTATAATTTATGTAGATCACACTATAGTACAATGGATATTGAAACTAAATTGTAAGAATAATATTTATGGATAAATTGCTTTCAATATTTCTTCCTCTAAGCAATATTTAAAATATTGTTGACAACTTCGTTTCTCAGCTACTTTCTATACTAATTTATTTTAAAATATATACTTTTGTACATTGTTTCTGTATGTACATAATTTATTGTTTTAGTCATTATGACAATTAATTGGATTTCTTTAATGTGCGTTGTTGTCATTTAAAATAATTAAGAATTTAATCTGAAACTATAATTATTAAATTAAAAATTAAGAATAGCAGTTGACAGTTTATCCGAGATTGTCCTCTCAACTTTATATTCAGATTAAAATAGCCTTAAATTAATGTTTCAGAAAATTCAGAAAGCATCGATTTCAGAATTCACTACAGTCTTAATGTATTTTATTAATATGTCTCGTATTAAAAAGACGAAGTAGCTTTCGCTTTTCTCACTTTTGTAGAAATTGCCCACTCATATGTAAATATATTCGGTGTATATATCGGGAATTGTACTGAGGGAAAATAACTAATTATAACGCAATGCAAGCTTGTAAAATTACATATTTAATTTCGAAAAATGATTGTTCCCTAATATTCATTTTTTTTTTGTTTTTTTTTGTTTTTTTAATAATATTTAGATCGATAAATTTATATAATTATTAAATTTTGCTCCATCTAGTTCAAGTTCCATTCTAGTTAAATGTACCTTATAAATTGCATATTTATTATATATAATTAATATTTGCATATTACATAAATATTACTAGTAATTTTTCTTCTACGGTTGACTATGTAACAGTTAACACATATCCATTGTAATATATATATATTTTTTACATTATATTTATATACTTTATTCTATGGTAGGTAAACTATTTTTATAAGCTTCTTTTAACTTAAAATGTTGTAATATTTTATTTTATTCCTTATAAATAAAAGAGCAGTAATTATCAGTTAAAAATATTTTATTCTATATTATAAAAAAATTAGCATAATAAAATTGATATAAAATAAATATTTGATATTGAAACGCAAAAGTATCTGTCACCATATGAATTACGAATAGACACGAATGATAAAATATAATAATAATTTATCAACATTAGATTGCATAAATTACAATCTCGAGAAATAACGCTATTAATGTTATGAAAAATATGCATTTCAAAATACTTTTTACAACGGGGTTTTACCATCGTTGCTACAGATGTCAGCAAAATCTAGAAACGTTAAGTTTATTAAACGCAAATCTCAGTCTAACGGATGTTCTTCGCTTGCTTGCAATCGTCGTCAATGTCTGCGATAATCGACTTGCATCTCTCGATATAAGAGGAGCTTTTAGAGAATGGCAGGCTCCTTACAACAACGCAAGGTTGGTGAAAATTTCTAATTTATTTAACAATATTTCGATATCTCAATCACATGACTTTTAGTTTATCAATAAGTCTTTATTCGACTGATAACAATTATTTACAGTTTATAATTATAATAAATCGATATTGTAAAAATGATACACTAATATTGCTAATGTTGTATATGAGATAATAAGTACAATAAAAAAATTAGTAAAAAAAAAATATATATATATATATATATTATATAAAGTGAGTATTGATATATTTTGTATGTGACAAGGATATTAATATTTTATAGCAAAATTATTTCATAAATTTCATTACACGTAACACGGATTTTTACTAATTAATATTAAGTCAATCAATTTGATAATATTTAGAATATTAATTAAAATATATTCGAGTAAAATATAAAATAAAAAATATAGTCAATTTTCAACGTATCTGTTCGCTTGACAATAATTGCAACTCATTTTAAGCTCAAGCTTTAAACAGGTAAACGATATTTGAGAAATGTTTTTTCTCTTTCTTCTTAATTCATCGTAATTATCATGAGAAGCGCGCATCAATGTCACGTAAACGCCCAATAGATGTATAATATAAACCGAGCCGATAATACATAAATTAATTATGATTTTTCTAATTTTCGCAATAAGATATTTAAGGCTGCTTGGTCGCCTTCATGCGCTAACGCATTTGAGCTTGGATTATCCGGCTTTGTCGGATGGAGCATTAAATGCACTTGCATCTGGAGCTTGCAAAGCTCTGCAGACGCTGCACATATCAGTAAGGGATTCCGATTCCAGGCAACACCGCATCGAGGATTCAACTTGGCATAATCTAGTCAACGCCTGTCCGCATTTGACTGTTTCGTACACCATAGGTAATAGTTAATATTTTGTTAAATGAAAAGGAAAAGAGAGGATGTTAAAAATGACAATCAAAATGCGGTGAACGACTGGCTTATATATGCATTAGGCATCTGTTCACAATGATAAAGCTCACAATGACGAAAATCATATTAGGATAAAAAAAAGATGAAGATGATCGATGAAGACGCACGATCGACAATATGATAAATTAACAACAGGTTTGAAGGCGTTTTAATTGATTTATCTTACTGTCTACTTTAATTAAGAAGTTGTGCCTAATTAATATAATGGTCAAGATCAAATGCTAATGAAATAATTATTTCTAACATTGTTTGTTTATTTATTAGATTTACAAATATTTCCGGAATATTTGCTTGATGATATTGTTTATATGTTGTTAGGAAGAACAATTTATATTATAGATAGAGCATTCTTTTGAAATTTATGATTTTTTTAATTTCTCAAATACATAATTTAATATGTATTGCTCGGTCGGGTATGTCGAGTAGAGGATTAATTTTGTTTAAGAGAAACTTGAATGTTCACGCATATTTGACGTAAGTATAATTTAGAGCAAAAGAGTAAAAGCCTTTAATTTTTGTTTGAAAACAATGTACAATATTTAAGATATGCAGATAATGTTCAAATAAGTTGTTTTCTAATGCAAAATTTTTACGCATATTATATGACAATTGTATAATATTGTATACAATCGCAAACATACTTCACAATACTTATGGTCAATATTACCTGTACGTATATATCAGATTACAAAGAAATAATATTACACGTAACAATATTAAAAATATTAATATTACGTAATCATGATAATCGGTAATACTCATAAAAGAGTATGAAAAATTAAGTATTTACTAAAATATCTTTATTATTGAAAGAAAACATTCGCTTTATTTTTCAGTGAATATATCACACCATGAAGACATGTGTTATCTCCTATTACCAAGCGTACCTCTAGCAAAATTTCAAATGTTTGGAGGGTACGTTTGGGATCAAAGCCGCACGCGTAATTTTCGCAGTACCGTTGGTCTCTTAATTTCTCATTACACCGATACATTGGGTACTGTTACGATTATAAAGTCTCCCGACATAATTCCATTCAGCAACTCATAATTATTATTTCAGCTGAAGTTATGCTACAATTGAGAAATAATCGAGAAATGTTGGACGACTTGATTGTATCAATGCTAACACGTTGTAAGCATTTGAAAAGACTTCAATACGACGGTATCTTACGAAATCTGGAAACTCTACGTGATATTTGCCAACTACAAGCAGATCACAAAACATGTGAGCCATAATTGACAATTAAATATACGTTAATAATGTACATTCTATACCTGTCGATGCTATAGCCGAACAAATAGCAAATACAATGTTCCTTTAGAATTTTCATATTTACATTATCATGTATTATTCGACATGTATTAGCAATGTTAATTTATTTATTAGCTCTTTCCACCTTAACAAGACAAATACGACAATGTGATCCTTAGCACAATGCTCTTAACAATACTAAAATAAGTAATTTAACTAGATTTTCAAACGATCCACATGAAACCACGGAATGTAAACATGCACAATCAAGCTGTATTACACGAGATCGGTCATCAGTTCAATCACAAAATGATCGAGCAGGGAATCGACTTCCGCATCGATAATCTTGCCTAAATTTTCATCTATTTGCGAGCTCGATGAGCTATCCAGTCATCAAAAGCCATTTCATATTTCCATTATAATGAATGAAATAAAAAAAAAATTATTTATATGTTTCCTAACCTTTTACACGCATTTAATAAAGATTTTATTTTGATAAATTCTCTGTTTATGATTCTCTGATAAAATTTATTTCCGTGAGTACCTATTAAACTAAATTTACTATGTAACATCTGTTAAAAGTGATGCAGCGGAGTCTCGCAATAATTTCTAATTATATGAATATACGTGCGCGAGTATAAAAAAAAAACTAGATTATCACGTGTACGTGCACGTTCATTGTAAACTTGCAGGTAAACTTTTAGTTTACATATTGGATTATATTAATATTATTTATACCCTTGAATGCTTAAAAAAACAACTATTTACAGATTTTTAATAAAATTACCTTACAAAATATATTATACTTTTTATCGTGACATAAAATATTACAATAATAATATAAAACGTAGACGAAGTCAATTTCGAATTGACAAATTTTTAAAAATTTGTTAAGCTTTATTATGTTTTCATCTTGTACTTCGTTAATAAATTAATGACTAATTGGAAAGAAATATTTAAAAATGATTATTAATTTGAATTGTTACCAAGCTTATCATCGTCTGTTATTACTACAAAAGATAAATGATTATATTTAACAAATAAGAATGATGACACACACGCTTAAATCGCCGCATCTCTCCCCCCCCCCCCCCACAAAATAATTGTAATGCTTGTATTTATTATGTATTTTATTTATACATTCATACGCACATAAGAATATACTTCATTGTACTAATAAACTTGTTAGAATCGAAATTGGCTATATTAATCTCATGCTAAACTAAGCTTGAAACACCAAATTTACAATATGACCGCTATTGTTATTGCTACGCTAATATTGATTATAAACAATTGCTTTTATAATGTTTCAATCTTTTAGTAACTCTAGATTATTTGAAAATAAATATTTCGCTCTAAGTCTTACATATACTCGAAAGGAAAATCAGATTCCCTTAACAACCAGCTACAGTGCTCAAAGTATCAGGCAAACCAAGCAAAATTATTGCTCTGCATATTCAATTTTATTTTATTAGATAACCTGTGTTGTCATTACATGTGTAATAAATGATATATGATAATGATCAGGTTACAATATATCTAAAAGATATAGTCATGAAATTGGATGTACTTTACATTATTGTTTAAAGTGATAATAAAGACAATAATAACGACAATTTTTTTATATCGTTTAAGAGCAATGTTTTATAAAAACTGAAAATTTTCAATTAAAGCTCAAAATATTTTATGAAAAACTAATGTAATAATAATTATCTGTGACACTTATATAAAATGTAATGTATATAATGCATACAAAAATATGATACCATTTTTGTTGAAAATATTTAAAAAATTATTTCAATTGGACAACTACGTAAATTCATAGTTATCCAACTAATTTTTTATAAAAAATTCAGATTACTGCATTTGGATTATATTCGATTAGTCATAAGATCATTCTTCTATATGCTATATTAATATAGCATTATTGAATTCCTTTCAGAAAATCAAATCATAGATGTATAAAAAATAATAAACACTTGTATGAAAAATAGTTTAAAGAATAAACGTTTAAAGATTTGAAACTTATATCCTTTGCATAAAATACTTAATCGACATTATATAAAAGACTTTAAATTCGAATATATCACTCATTGATTATGGAACATCTCTCTTCCTAAAAAGTTCCTATAAAGTTAAAAAATTTAAAAAATATGTTTTAAGAATTTTGAAACTGTTACATAATTGACATTATATTAATATAACTATCAAGGATTTAATAAAACTCTAATTTCATAAGCAACTATCGTTCACACGACAAATACGATATAACAAATATATATTACAAACTGATATAGATGAGAAGACACTTATGAAATTGTAAATAATTTATGGTATCGCTACTGATTTATACGAAATTTTAATTGATAAGGATCCAGATTTGATCAATGATATTGAATCGATTGATGCTTTGGTACATTTAATTATAACTTCAAGACTTATCTGAGTAGTAAAAGTATATTTGACAATTTTTAATCGGCCAGTGAATCTATTAACCATTTATCACAACATTTAAGTTTCATTGTCAAATATTCGTAAAAATATTCGTAAAAAGAATAATTTACAATTCTATGGATATTATAAAATTAGCATGTAATGCGTATAAAAATAAACATTTCTGTAAATGTAATAAATTTTACTAATGGACATGAGTAATACAGAAATTATACACTAATTAACGTCCACGTGACGTTTTATATTGAATAATTCTACATAAGGAACTATTTTTAATCAACTTTCAATTATCTATACAAATTAGAATTTATACAAAAGTTTATTATATTAATATTGATGGATCTAAACGCCAATGACATAATCATAATTTGTACTAAACTGAACATATTTATTGTGTACTAATAAATTCCAAATAACACATATTATTTAATTATTCATAAGTCATTGTTTATTAGATTCAATAATTAATTTTAAAGTGATAATATGATCAAATCAAAGCTATTGATAATATTACATTATAATAAATATTACTTTTTATATATAAATCATAATGTAGAATCTATATTTGAAAATTTAATCTTTTAAAAGATAATGTAACTCAACTAAAATTGAGTTTTATAAAGAAAATTGCATTGCATTAAGATATTTTTAATTTATAAAATTTTTTTAACATCCATACAATTACTTAAAAGTTATAATTAATAATTTGAGATTGACATGTGTAGCTTAAAGCAGTTTTTCAAAATAAAGATTTATGATAGTGAAATCCTGATAAACTATATTTAACTGAAGTTTTCATCCAAAGCTTTAAAATAGATGTATTATAAATAAATTAAACATTATTCATAATAAATCAAGTTCTTAACAAGTCTTATAATATTCTTAAAGAATTAATATCAATTATGTCATAATTATTTTATAATATTTTATGTATTATTAGTTTTTTTTTTGTTGTTTTTTAAACAATCAATTTATCGTAAATAAAAAATAGATCTTGAAATTTACGTCATTCTTCAAATTAATTTTTTTATTTATATGAAAATACAGATAAGAATTATAAGGAAAAATACCAATAAAATATTATTTGAGCTAATTTACGTTGTATGCTACATATTTGTATATCAAAGTTCAATATTCAAATATATTTGTTTAAAATTACATCTTTATAATATATCATAATTCAATAATTTTTGGTTCATTTGAAATAAGAAAAGTTTCACCATTATGTAATCTTTCCATGTACGTAATCTTCGTTTTAATTATCAATAAAGATAAATAATATATATATATATATATATATATATATATATATTATTTTATTTATTTCTTAATAAATTCTTAAATACTTGTATTTACTATATTATAGATGCATAACACATCCGTTGCTATGATATTTAATGCTATTAATTCTAAATTTAGAATACAGAAAATAAAAGCATTTGAAAGTTCATTTATTGATTTTATTTTAAACTAATGTGGAATTATTATCTGGAATAAGGAGTCTAACGACTCGCGTGTGATGTGTCCTCTCAAAAGCGCACCACCATTCAACCAAAAAGTATGCCTCGAAAAATCAATAGTATTATTAAGCTTTTGGATTGTCATCGTATTATGAAAGAGCTTGATTGACTGGCCGCTAAAATGGAAAAGTCTCCCGGGTTAATGGCGGCAATGAGCTCACGAGGCCGCTTCGTCCGATTCCCGATATCAGTTTAGCTCACGAACAAAGCAAATCGGGATAATCGAGAGGCAGATAAGCATCTAATTGTCGGGTGCAAAAGATATGCGCGCGCGCGCGCGTCGCTCGCTCGCGCGAAAACAAGCGCCGGGGCGCATGCGCGGGCTTGCGAGCCGCCCGCAACAGCAGCGACCCGAAGACAGAGGCACCGCGAGCCGGTAACAAGGTTGCCGCCGAGAGACTCGCGCACACCGGAGGTGCCGCGTGCGCGCCTTCCTCCTCCTCCTCCTCCTCCTTATCCCCTTTATTCCCCTCCTTCATCTCCTTATCATTATCATCATCGTTGTCGTGGTCGTCTTCTACATCGTCGTCGTCGTCGTCGTGGTCGTCGTCTACGTCGTCGTCGTCGTCGTCTACGTCGTCGTCGTCGTCGTCTACGTCGTCGTCGTCGTCGTCTACGTCGTCGTCGTCGTCGTCTACGTCGTCGTCGTCGTCGTCTACGTCGTCGTCGTCGTCGTCTACGTCGTCGTCGTCGTCGTCTACGTCGTCGTCGTCGTCGTCTACGTCGTCGTCGTCGTCGTCTACGTCGTCGTCGTCGTCGTCTACGTCGTCGTCGTCGTCGTCTACGTCGTCGTCGTCGTCGTCTACGTCGTCGTCGTCGTCGTCTACGTCGTCGTCGTCGTCGTCTACGTCGTCGTCGTCGTCGTCTACGTCGTCGTCGTCGTCGTCTACGTCGTCGTCGTCGTCGTCTACGTCGTCGTCGTCGTCGTCTACGTCGTCGTCGTCGTCGTCTACGTCGTCGTCGTCGTCGTCTACGTCGTCGTCGTCGTCGTCTACGTCGTCGTCGTCGTCGTCTACGTCGTCGTCGTCGTCGTCTACGTCGTCGTCGTCGTCGTCTACGTCGTCGTCGTCGTCGTCTACGTCGTCGTCGTCGTCGTCGTCTTCGTCGTCGTCATCGTCATTGTCGTCATTGTTGTCATCATTATTCTCCACCTCTACCTTCTTCGCCTTCTCCTCGTCATCATCAATATCATCCTCCTTGTCCTCCTCTAGCTCCTCCACCACCTCCCACTCCTACTTCTCCTCCTCCTCCTCTTTTTCCTCCTCCTCTTTTTCCTCCTCCTTCTTCTCCTCCTCCTCCTCCACCTCATCCTCCTCCACCTCTTGCCGAGCGGCCCCCGCCCAGCGGCTGGCTGCGCGCGTGTGCGTGTGCGCGCATTCACAGCTGTTGCCTGGAGCAGGTACGAGCGACCGCTCGGCGAAAAAGGAAGCGAGCTGGGACGAGGAAGAGGATCTCGGAGGATCTTGGAGGTTTGGTGGGTTCGGAGGCTCGGAGGAGGCCCCGAAGGTGGGCGCGCCCGTGTGCCTTCACCTTTTCGGCGCTCGATCTAACGGCATCGTCTGACTCACCTCGGCTGTGTTTGCTTGTGTGCGCGCGCGTCCATGTCGGCGGCTCTCGGCCCGCCACAAACACATGGGCGTCGCTCGCGCCACCAAGAGCGAGAGACTTTGAGAAAGAGAGATAAAGAGCTGAGCCGGAGAAGTACATGGCAACAGGAAGATACTGCACACCTCTAATATGGAGAGTTCTTTTTGATTTACACGAGGTATGCCATTCTCTCTATCTATCTCTTCTCTCCGTCTCTTTCGCTCTCTCATTCTCTCTCTCGCTCTCTCTCTCTCTCTTGTTCTCTCCCTGTCACTTTAATTATCATCTCTCCCTCTACTTCTCTCTCTCGTTCTCTGGCTCTCCCTCTCTCCCTCTCTCCCCCTCTCTCTCGCTCTCTCTCGCTCTCTGACTCTCCCTCTCTCGCTCTCTGACTCTCCCTCTCTCCCTCTCTCCCTCTCTCTCCCTCTCTCTCTCTCTCTCTCCCTCTCTCCCCCCCCCTCTCTCTCTCTCTCACTCTCTCTCACTCTCTATCTATCTATCTTTATGTATGTATATATTTTTCTGCGCGCGCGCAAGCTTATTTCATTATTTATTGTTTATCGCTTGTTTTTTTTGTATTTACATTGCATTTCTTTCTCTTGCCTACTTGCCTTTTTCACGCCAGAGAGAAAGAAGGAACAAGTGATGTAATTGGAAAGAGGGTGATATCGTTTTTATAAAATGTATACTTTTTTCACATATCGGCTGATAGTAAACACGCGCGCTATATTTAGAAACAAAGAAGGCAATCACATGCATCCCATTGTGTGATTTGTTAAATGTTAAATGTAAAATATCGAGTTGACTGCATAACTAGTGTATTTATTTTTATATTTTATTTTTTTTAATTTAAATCGCAACCTCGTCACTGCTTTCATTTGTTGATATAAGACCAATGAAATTCGCTGTCTTCTTGCTTATGTCAAAACAACAACAACAACAACAACAACAACAACGACAACGACAAAACAAAAAAAAAACAAAAAAAATAGCGCAATATTCAACGATAAATCCATTAAGAAGTGAAAATTAAATAAATAAATTTTATTATTGAACAAAAGATTATGATTGTGCTTATTTTATTCAATATTTATTTAAAATTTTAGAATTTTTTTTATCCAAATAGATTTATTGTAAAGTAATTTATAAATAATAATGTCGAAATTAATTATGGCATTTTTCGAGAAAGCGCGAATGGTTTACATTTAATATTATCTGAAAAGAATGATAAACCGAACACTAACAAATTGTATATGCGTTAATCTAATATTTGCCGGGAAAATAATAATTGCTGTTATACATTTACTTTTATTATCTTCTTCACGAAGACTTCAATTTTTGTTTTATTAGTATTATTTTTATTATTATTTTTATTATTATTATTATTGTTGTTGTTGTTATTATTGTTATTGTTATTATTATTATTATTATTATTATTATTATTATTATCATTATTATTATTGTTGTTATATTAAAGTCCCAGTACGTTAGAAATAATATTTTAATTATTTCCCATTTATGATAATACAATAGAATATTAATTTCATTAGTTACACATTATAATACTATTTAGATAAGTATAATATTTACTTTAAAAGACTTCATAAATATTTACAAAAATTAATTTATCATCCAATTCGTTTAATCAGCGAGCATAAAGCTATTAGTCATGAAAATGAACCAAAGATTTGTTCATCGGATGGCAAACGAGCCAAGCCACTCAAATATATATTATAATGTATATTATATTTATATTTTAGTTAAAATTATCAACAATTGTCGATGTGAGTTTGCATTTGTATCTTAGGCATTAAGTATACGGAGAGGATATTTATGAATTTATTACAATGATAGAGAGGACGACTATAACTTTTATAGTATTAATTGTTCCAACAAATCTTAATTACTATTATTGCAAACATTTTGCCAAAAGTATTAATGAAACATCCTCTGACCCATCAAATTGCACAGTATTGTCTCTTGTAAATTATTTTATCTCTGAGCAATTTAGATCGTGATATAAAAATTTTTTTGCAAAACTTTCAGGTCACCTTTCTTGTGAAACTTGTTGTGATGAAGTACTCGATAGTCTCCTAAATAATCGAGTATAATAATAAGCGAGGGTAATTCGCCAGTGCGTCCCATACATCACAAGTTTAATTCTCTTCCGCATCTACTCCCAGAAAATAAGATGAAGAGTTTGTGCACGCATAATGTAATAGATATATCATTAAATTCTACAATGACGTTTGACAGAAATTCAACTCGCGATAATCCGAATCTTTTCTTATTCAGCATTTTCATCATTTATTAAACTTTCTCATACGCTAAATTTAAATCAAATTTAGTTTACCCCTTTTGTTTTTTAATACATATATATATATATATATATATATATATATATATATATAAATATCTACATTAACATTTGCATAATTCGCGAAGTTACTTACAAAATCATTATCTCGACAATTTTATTTATTAATTATTATTATTATTATATCATCGTAGTCATCGTCGTCGTCATCGTCATCATCATTACATATCGTTAATGACTATATTTTGAATAAATTAATATGAACAGTTTAATGAATATGGGGAATATTTATAAACAAAACTTTGCTTAAATTTTCTAAAGGTTGATAACCTTGAAGCATAACGTGTAACTGTGTATACGAGCATCGCGTGTTAAATCATCGTCGCACATCTCTTGTTTTTAAATTTGCATTATAAAAATACACGACGTGTGATTGAAAATATAACCGTAATATGCGGGAAGAATTAATATATAAAAAAGACACTGGCGCTGTCTCAGCTATGTTCTAATAAATCCTATTTCTATATCCGGTATTGGGAATTCATATTTATTTATATTTATACGAAGTGCAATAATATTGTTGGCAACAATTTCCTGCCGAACAATATATAAACGATAAAGTCGTGAGCAAAAGTTGATTCAACGGCTTAGCCAATGTTGGTCTTCTACATTGAGAAAATCACTTTTTGGCGAAGTTGGATTCCCCGCATTCCTGTTCTGCACACGATCCAAGTTCATTAATACTCGATTAGAAATAACTGTTGCTCGCTCGCTCCGACTGGGGTTCCGGGGGCAGGGGGAGGGCGGAGCCACCGAGGGAGGTGGTCGGGTGGGTACGGGGGTGGCGCGGGGATTACCGTGTTTTCGTCGTGGCTCGGTCGGTCCTGGCTCGGCCCGGCCTCCGGCACGAAGTGTAACGCACTTTTCGCCTGGCCATCATGTGACGTGCCTGACGTGGCTATCTCAGGTCTGAGTAAAGGCCAAGTGACATGCGTGTACGTAAACACACCGAGTATGGCTGCCACGGGAAGTTCTTACGTATAGTGTGCATTTAAGATATAAATTTGATTCCGATAACATTTCCCGCCGAGCTTTAATACTTCACTGTATTTAATGCAATGCGTTTGTCTGTATTGGGATATTAAAGTATTGGCTGGAACACGAGAGGCAATTACGATATTCTGTACAATAGGTTTATTGTCGGGGGCCTAGTTGTCGGCTTATCGAAAGTGCTTTGATTTCCGTTTGGATTTCACTAATCGTAAAGACATTCGTCGGGCTTGCGAATTAATATATTTAAGAATGGCATGCCGATATGCGAATCGCCGATCGCCGCGGCGCCATGCGCATACAAAGAAGCCAGATGATTTTGAAATTTGGAAATAAACACTCGAGGAGCATATGCTGTTGTATCAAAATAGCCAATTTGGCCACTCATATATAGACGACATTTATTTAAATCAAGAGATAATATGTATTAATGATTTATACTTAGTGCTTATTACATATGAAGTGAAGCGCGAATTTTTTTATCTGACAAGGTACGCGACGCAAAATGATCGTATAAGATACATTAGATCGTTACACTAATTCATGAGAATATATAGGTTGTAGATAATCAATAACCTTCTATGACTTTAGAATAATAAATAGGATAAATTTCAAAATTTTAAAGGAATTACTCTATATTTGTAAATTATAAATAGCTCAAAATCAAGTGAGTTTTGGGCGATTCAAACAATACTTCTTCATTTGTCTATAATTACAATTAATTATTGATATTTGAAAAGAAATTAATAAGGAACATGCCTGTTTAATAATTATAACTCAGGTGGTTAATTTTTTCTATTGCCTGATAAAGTATTTTGTTTATAATATAATTTACGAAAAATATTCCGTTAATTGAAGAAATATTATTTTTATGGGAATTGTAGTTGTCTTTAATGAATTGCCTAGATATTATTAGGCAAAGTAATATAAGCTTTATAATTGTAACTTGAGAGTCTTCCAACAGTGTCCCGTACAAAAAATTAGCATTAAAACGTTCTTTCAGTATTATGAAAATCATTAGAAATATATTTCGCTTTCAATTTTCTTGTATATTACATTAATTTATATTTCATTTTCCCTCCTATTTTATTATGTCGTAGTTAATTACATAAAACTGAATTGTTCACAATATATGTCAATTATAGTTTTGCTATATCGTATAAATAAAAGGTATATTATATAAATAATATGAAATAAAGATGTATTATATAATATAAAAAGGTTTATAAATCTTAAAAATTTGGCAGTTGTATAGAATAGTTTTTGATGATATTTTTAATGTAAAATTTATATTGAACATTAAGAAAATTTTTTAGAATACATAGTTAATTCTATTCATTACAAATTTTAATAATAAAGAACAACAGTAGAGAATATTAATTATTCCTGCGATGATACTAGAAAGAAAAAATATATTTATTAGCCAACAATGAATTGGCAAAGAATTATCGCTTATATCGTAAACTAAGATAATTTATAATTACAAAATTATTTGTCGGATTAATCATATATATATATATATATATATACATAATATAGAGTATTAAATTAAATAAAATTGTCGTAATAATTATTTGTTAAAAATAATTTCTTGTCCGCCTTTGTATTAATTACATATATATTTTATAAATATAATTCATTAGACTTTTTTATTAGCACTTTTCTATTTATTGCTTTTTACGTTTTGTAATGATCTCAGACGATTTATAGCTTTTACTCGTATAATTAAGGAATTCATTGCTGCTAATTTTCATCGAAAGTAGCCTATGCATTAAATATTATAAATAATTGTAATTAAAGGGCAAAAAAATATTATCGGTATCCTAAATATCGATATCCTTGCTTTGTATATTCCCGAAGAATAAAACAAAATTATTGTAATTTTAACTGAATTTACTCGTTGCAGGTGAACCATTAAACCGTTGCAAAGCCAAAGATAACAAAATGGAGGTATCGCCTTACTTGTTGGCAATACAATCGCTCGATGGGCAAAATCCAGGTGACAAATACAAGGAATTGCACTCAATCGTCGCACAAATAATAAAAGATGACAAGGAGAGAGAGGAATTTATCAGCACGGGTTTAACTCAGCGCGTACAACCTGCTATGCTGCCTCATTTACGCATTCTCGTGGGCAACAAATTAAAATTAAATAATGCTGTGATAGAAGCTTTAAAGTCGGATGACGCGATGATCATTAGGCAAGCTCTGAATGCCAAGTGGTTCTACAGTAGTTCTAATGATATTATTCACGTGGATTATTTTGTGTCTAATGTCATACCATATATATCTCTACGTACGCGCCTTGAGCTTGTCAAGACGCTCGCTCATTGCCTCGTCGGCGACTCGAAAAAGGCCGACGATTTTTTCGGCAGCTTCGCCGATTTATTCGGCGTGGATCAAGCTCTACCTCTCCTCGTAGCTTGTAGCGAAAACTACATTTACAGCGTGGTTTTGGAGCGGCGAATAACACTGCCGTCGAGAATACTTGGCATACTGTATCGTAAATATCCGCAATTAGTCATACGCTACCTTCAGCTAGGCAATGAACGCAATGAGGCGAACAAAAGTGACAGAAAAATTCATAAAATCTCACTGGCAAACTATAGCAGCTTCCTGCCAATGCTTGTAAAACATCATACGCAGGAGTTCGTCGAATTGTTCGAGAGCTCACCTAATTATTCGAAAAGCATGAAATTAGGAAGCACGAGGGCTGAATTCTTCTTGAGGAATGCCACGGATGTGCTTATTAAAAAGCCGCGAATATTTTTAAATCTTTTGCCGCTTAAGCTCGTGAGCAATAAGCTGAGTACGCAACAATTCGAGACTATGTTTGAAAATTTATTTCTGAAAGATGTCAAAGACTTCGCAATCGAGCAGATGATCAGTTATTTGCAGTACTACCCGCAAGAAAAGAAATTTAGTTTACTTACGAGTAAATATAAGCTCTTGTATGGGGAAAATATACTCGAAAATTACAATACGTTTGCATGCGAGAACTTTTATAAATTACTTCCCACCCACATAAAAGAAGAATATGGAAAAAGAAAGCTTGAGTCTTATGTAGGCCAACGGCAGTACCATAATTATATATTTTGCTTACCGCCTATAGAGTCGTTAAGAATGCTGAAAGAGAGAATAAAAATACCCTCGGACATATCGAGATCCGAGTGGATTCGTCAAATGATTAAATCCTGTGCCATTTACGACAGCAAGGAGGATCTCCTCGACGTACTCAATTATTATTACACCCATCACATGAACGAGCAGGCTTACGTATTACACGAAGTTCTCGATAGTTTAACAGATGCATTCGACATAAAGTCATTGAGCAAAGTGCATTGGCAAGTGCTCAAACAAATTATACGAGTAGCCTATACTAAAGGTGATCTTTTTGCAACATCATCATATCAGTATGCCAAATTCTTCAAAGGTGCTTTACATTACTTTCTCAAGCAGCATAAGCTAGACACATTGTTAGAAAATAACGAGTTTTTAGATTTACTTGTTAAGATAATTGTGGAGTGTTATGTCGAGCATGATATGAAGTGGAATTTCATAACGGATTGTCCGGAATTCGAAAGAGTTTGTTTGCAGAAATTTTTATTAACTATACCGGATAAGTATCCCGAGACATTTAAAATTTGGTCTAATAACAAAATCAAGTTGAACGTAACGTCGTATCTTATTAAATCGATGCACGATTTTAATGTGAGGAGGCATTATTTCACCGAATCCAATAGGAGGTACAATACCGGAACGATGGACTTCAATAATAAAGAGAACAAGCGATCGAAGTTCACGATTAAGGACTATCCGTGGTTAATCAATTTTTCAGCCGATTTGATTAAGACTGGAGCGTGCAACAGAATAGGCTTTAAGCAATTTAGAAAAATTTTACGCACTCACGATTTGGAATTTTATCAAAAATTAATCGACGACGATCCAAATTTAATAAACGATGTCGAGTCTTCCGATGCAATTGTGGCATTGAAACGCGATCAGAAAAGAATTCTTAATAAGTGGAATCTATACATGGAGGCGTGCAAAGAGAAATTGCAAACGGGCAATAGATTTGCCAAGTGCTTTGTGTTGGCGATCAGGTGGTACCAGGAAATACCCGTTAAATTTATGAAACAGTGCTTCCTCGAGCTCGAAAGTCAAAATAGCATATTAATATTAGGAATATTGTTAGAGGGCGAAGCATTTGGCAAAGTCATCGAACCTTATCTTCCAACGGATAAGAAAATAAACATTGAATGCAAGGATGCTAAGAATAGATATAATATCATATCATCCCTGACCAAAGCAATAAACTTTTCCAACCCACCCGTTCCATTCGATGTTATAGCTTCGTTTTGCCAAGGGGATTACGTAGCACTGGCCACGAATACCTTAACCAACGTAGCTCAACGCCTGCCAATCGACAAGGTTCTAGCATACGCAAATCAACTTATAGATAAACCTATTTCCGTAAAGAAGCTTGGAATACGTATGGTTTTTCAAGTAGCAACAAATAGTGAGTTACGAGAATTTTTAATGCGGATGTGGACGGACGAGAAGAATCTATCAATACGGGAATTAGTGGCGATTAAGATATATGATACATTCAAGAAATCCCCGAGTGATGAGACTTGGAGGCTGCTTAAGGCTTGCTTCGATGGAATTACGAGCGACGACGAGACAATTTTACAAAACTTTTCGAATCTTGAAGATGTCGATATGAATTTCATGGCAATGCACATTAAAGAATTTATCAATAAAGTTGACTCGTTTATCGATGACGCTCTAGACGAGCAGAAAAAGCAGAAATGGATGTGCTTCCTGGTCAGTAAAATTGACGAGAGCATAATGCAATGGCTGTCGGAGGAATTAATAACCGATATTATTCAAAGAAATTTCTTCAGCTATTCCATAATATTTACGGTGAAAATTTATTTGCTCTCCGACATGGATAGGTTCGAGCAAAGATTGAAAATAATTATGGACATTTTGCGCAATGAATTTGAGAAATTCAATATATCCAGTCGAAAGTCATCTAGATATTATCCAGCCAATTATCATATTAATACTTTCTTTTCGTTAATGTTTAAACAATTATTGGATAAGGGGAATAATGAAATGAGTGCTCGTGTAATCGACGATGCTTTGAAATTATTCTCAACAATATTGCATCCGTGTCAGGATGCCCAGACTTTTATAGCTCTAAGCATGTATAAAAATTATTATGAAGCTGAGACACCAAAAGAATTTGGAATTAAATTTGGAAGGAGCATCGTGGGTCTAGTGAACGAGTTCAAAAGTGATATCATAGTGAGCGATATTGTAAAAATAATGAATGAATTTTTAAATCACGCGAATGTTTACAAGTGCGTTAAAAAGTTGGACTTGAAGCTAATAATAATTAAAGGTTTGATGGAGAGTGACGAACGTTATGGTACACTAGTTGGTATAAAGTTGATAGATTATTATGAGATAAGTCACTATAATAACAGCTACGACGAATTAATGAAGATCTGGAAAGGTATTGATAACATCACGGTGAAAGCTGTTTTGAACAATATTATGAATAAAAAGGTGTATTTTTCATAAAATTAATATAAACAAAATAAGTACTACCTCAAACTGATGAATAATAAATAGTAAAAGCCTGGTTTTCACAAGAGGACACCAAAATTGAAATAATAATAATAAATGTACAAAAAATGTTTCATCTTATGTTTAGATTTTTCTACTATTATTATAATAAATCTTGCAATAAAAGCATTTTTTTTTTTCTGTGACTGTTGACTCTTGATTATTTCATACAAAATCATATAACATTTTACGTTTCATTTCATCATTTTTTATTTGATTTTTTGTAGATTTTTTTTTTTTTTTTTTTTTTTTTTTTTATTTTTTTTTTTTTTTTTTTTTTTTTTTATACACAACTATAAGGTTGGTAGTATGCATTATCTGACGTATGCACTCGGGGTACATAATTACAGTTTTAGGCACATAATATATATATATATATATATATATATATATATACCATACAACAGGAACATGCAGAATACAATGTATTAAAATATATTAAATAGTATTTTTTGGAGCAGTGTGAGGAGTTTAACATAATTTCATCACTGTTACGATTGTTATTAATATGTCGCTATTATTACAAATTAAAACAATCTGCATTGAATAATGCATTTACAGAACATGACAATGGAATGAATAAATGTGTACAAAGTCATCGTACTAAAACATATATTTTACATAAAACAAAGTAAAAAAAACAACAAACAAACAAACAAACAAACAAACAAGAAAAATATAAATTTGTCGAACTTATATTATTTATTAGTCTTAAGCATTTAATATTATAATGTTATTATTTACGAACGAACACATGACATACAATACAATACAACAGTTTTAGACTGTATATAAATATGTTTACGCATAAATCTCTTAACTTATTTGCAAATTATATGATTCATGACGTAATTTAATTTTACTAAGGCCTTAATTTTTAAATGCACTTATTATAGGCGATTTTAGTCAAGGCATTCTAGTTACTATCAATTATTTATTTTAAAGCATTGGAGCGTTTGTATTATTTTTATTTGGCAGCTTTTTTTGTATATATATATATATATATATATATATATACGATACGCTCAAAACTATTATTAGTCTTGATGACATAATAAGCATATATATTGTATTATTCAATATATTGTAATTGGTATTGTCAAATGTTATTTAAGATTAATTACTTTTATATATTGTACTATTCACTTTCATAGATTGCTTAGTATTTGGTTTCCATTATAATTCGATTATAATATAAGCACATGATTGATTATTCATTATTTTCAGTGATTCAATTCTATCGCAATTGCAATTGTTGAAAATAAACGATATTTTATTATAAAATTTTTTTTTATTACTGTTAATAATTAAATATTAATTTATCTAGAAAAAATTAAACCGAAAGTCGGCATATTATTTCTTTATCGGTATATTGTGCATGTGTTAGTATATAAACACATTTTACTTATTAAATTTAATTTTGCATTTAATAAAATTGTAACTTGCTATGATTGATAAACATGTATACAATTACAATTTCTTTTTTCTTTTTTTTATAAATTTATCTTTAAAATATCGTTTACAAAATATGCAGATTATTGAAATTAAATACAATTTCACGATTGTCAATATACTTTGAGTAAGTAAATAAACAAAAGCTTAAATATATTTCCATTCCTTATTAAACTAAACATAGTAAATAGGATAATTGATTTAATTAGATTATTGTAATTCGAAAGTAGTAGAGAATTATGAATAATTTAGAAGCTTAGGTGAGTATTTGATATTTTCGTTCACGAATCCGCTGAGAAAACTTGTCATGTCTATTTATAAATCCTTTAAAATATTTATAATTCTAAACAATATTTCTAAAAATAATTGATATAAAAATTTCTCTCATTTATTTATAAGATTCATTAAAATATTGAAATTTAAATGTAAATATACGAATGGAACTTTGAATATAATTACGTGAATTTGTACATAATCAGAATAACAAAATGAAGAGGCATATAAAAAATAAATTTCTTGAAAAATATATCATTAATTTCACGCACATCGAATGTTAAAGCGCGAGACCTTTATCGTCCAAGTGAATGATAAATTTTATTATTTAAAAGATATTTGACACACTGAATAGTCATTAATAGTCTGATTGACTAATTATTCGTGTATAAAACTATATTGTCAGATACGTTCACTGACAATGAGTATAAAATGTTTATTGACTTGAATTATGATTATAGCATTATTAGCAGCTCAGCTTATTTTCTATACAATATTACTTAATGGACACAATTTATTATTATTATTATTATTATCATCATCATCATCATCATCGTCGTCGTCATCATCATCATCATCATCATCATCATCATCATCATCATCTTCTTCTTCTTCTTCTTCTTCATCATCATCGTCATCGTCATCATCATCATCATCATCATAGTCGTGATTACTATTAGTATATTCTTTTACATAATAAAATAAGTCGTTTTTAATATAAATACTTCAGTCAATTTTTATAAAGCTAAAAAAGTTTTAAATATTTCAAAACTTTTTTCATCTTTTAACAGTGATTTATCACTAAATTAAGTTATTAATACTAATTATAGATTGAAAAAAAAATTTCTTTTATGAAATGATATGGTTTATATTATTTGATATTAAGTAATAACCTCTAAAAATCGACATATATTCTACTTATTTTAAATAAATTAAATTTTTTATTTACTTTTAAAATAAAGAAACTTAATTAACAAAATAAAATTCATCAAACTTAAAAAGGATTGCTCTCTCATGTATATATATATATATATATATATATATATATATATATATATATATATATATATATATTGATCTTTTAAAATTCCGAAAAAATATTAATTCACACGATAGATTATTGTGTATTTATCCTTTAATCGGTGTTAAAAAAAAAAAAAAATCTTCAGCTTCATTAACTTTAAAAATTAAATTATTTTTGTCACTATAATGTCCATATATGTTGTATTCATAAATTAGAAGAATAAATATATTTCTAATTATGCCTTAAAAATATTTTGAATTGGAAATTCATATGTAATAGTATTTGATACTATTTTCTCCTTTTAAAATAGATCAAGCAAACTGCTTGTCGAACGATTGTACAAGTATCCCAGAATTAAAAAAAGAACATAATTTCTCCATTATAAGTTTAAAGCGTTTGATAAATATTTAAAGCTTCGTACAAAATCATACCAATCATCCGTGGCAACAGTCAACTAATTTATTGCTCTTACAAAAGGCGCCAGCTAACATTATAATAATAATCGTGCTTGTACGATGAACAATTCTATATAGAATCAATTGTAATAGATATTATAAATAACTTTATAAGTGTATGAAAATCTAATGAAAACCTTAAATAATTTTTTTAAAACTTACAATTTTTTCATATTTCCATTACTTGCTACAGTGGCTACATCTTATGACTAATTATTCGTTGTATGTACTGGAAATGTTTATTGTAAATAGTTTACGTTTACTTATTCAGGGAGTTTTATGCACAAGAATGCATTGTGATTGGGCAAGTTAATTTCATTCAAGTGTAGAGCGCTCAAAAAGCGCGCTTCGATTACGAAATTGTCATTCGTTAGATGGGATCAATCAATGTGCACACGACGATAATCAAGAGGTAGAATTAGGATTTCTCGCTTTCGATATATCAAAATGAAAAACGAATGAAAAAATAGGACAGAAACTGAGAGATGTATGGGAATTCGCAAAAGCCAAAGCACAGGGGCCGTAACATAATAAAGGTAAAGCGGCTAAATTGCCTCTTACTGACTAGGCGCAATTGGCATAAGACGTATCACTTCCTCTCGCACTAAGGCTCGCACAAGCTTCGTTTAACAATGACGACAAACTCGAGCTTTCAGGTGTCCCCGTACTTACGCCTTCGACGATCTGCCCTCCGATTTGAGGCTCTCGGCGGCCTCGCGGGCTCGCACCTCCGATCAGAAGCAGCCCTTAAGGTGCGTGTTGAGGAGCGTTTTGGTGACGAAGCCCTTGGTGCACCGTTCGCAGACGTAGGGCCTCTCGCCACTATGGTAGCGCTTGTGGACAACGAGGGTCGAGCGTTGGGTGAATGACTTGCCGCAGAGGTCGCAGCTGTAGGGTCGCTCGCCGGTGTGGGTGACCCGGTGGGTGCGCAGGAGGGTCTCGCAGGAAAAACACTTGTCGCAGACTTTGCAGGTGAAAGGCTTCTCGCCGGTGTGGAGCCGCGTATGGATCTGCAGGCCCTTGAAGGTCTTGAGCTCCTTGCCGCAATGGGCGCAAAGATAGGTGCGTTGGGCACGTTTGGAGCGGCCAGTGCGCGGTCTGCCCCGTCGGCGCTTTTGGTACATCGATGGATCGCCGTTCGATATGTAGCCGTCTAGGTCCTCCAGGTAGCTCCTCGCTTGCTCCTGCTACCGTTAGAATACATTATTTTTTGTAATTTTGAAAGGAAATCATCGTTCGCGCTTGATTGGATGTAACGTAGATTATGGTATAACGGACTTGCCATTACGAAATGCGAAATATGAGTGTATGGAGAACGGGAGGGAGGGTGAGATAGAGAGAGAGAGAGAGAGAGAGAGAGAGAGGGGGGGGGGGGGGGCGAATTTATTTTAATATTTTTAAGCAGAGAAAATTTGTGTACGTGATGCTTTATTATTTTGCTATGGGAATAAAAGATGACGATCATTGGATATTTATTATGACAGTTTAGTTAAAATCACATTTATTTTACTATCATAACCACAATTTTTAGATTACGTTGCTGACAAAATTATAAATATAAGTAATAATGAATTGAGAAATTTAAATTCAGTTGAAATCAGTCAAATTATTAATCGGGACTGAAATTTGTAAGAAGATATCAATAAATCTTTCACTACTATAGCAATTTCTTAAAAATGCCTTCACCGAATTTTTTGGATTGGTGTAGTGTATCGATATCCTCGGTAAACTTAATATACTTTATTACTGCTACTGATATTGATATTTTAATAAATTTATGATTAGCAATAAGAACCATAGTTTATTTAGGAAGATTATTGAAATATGTATTTGTATTTGTTTTAAAATTAATTTTACTAAACGTTGCGCACAATTTGTGATCCACTTGGTAAATGATCCTGTAATATTATAAATGCCTACCATATGGAAAATCAAAATATTTTCTATTCTTATTCGTTGAAAAACGTATTATTGAAAATTATTGTTGAAGATTATATAAAACTTGAACTCATAATAAGACTAAATAATTGTACTTATACATTTTATTTAATTGTGACGATATCCAATATGTTTGAAGAATTAATCAATGCTAATTCAGAATCAATAGATACGCTACATAATACATATTGATAAAATCTCAATTGATATCAATGTATTACTAATTATATTAGATACAAGCACAAATGCATCACAATGTCTACCAATTATTCTACATTACTAATATTATTTGACTCATTATCTTACTTTTAGATACACAGATCAGTCAATAAGATCGTAAATACATGTTCGAAAACCGAATGTGAAATATCACCCAACATAGCAGCGATTCAATCGCTTAATGGAAAAACTTCGGCTGAAAAATTTAAAGACTTAAATTTAGCAGTGAAAACAATCGCCGAGAATACGAAAGGAAAGGGCGAGTTGTTATCTACAAACGATTACAAAGAAATTTCACCAGCCATGACGAGTCTTATACAAATTTTAGTTGGCTTGAAATTAAAAATAAATGCATTGATTATACAAGGGTTGACATCGGATGATTTAAATATAACTCGTAAAGCACTGAAGGCCACCTGGTTTTTTAATGGCATGAACGACCACGTCAATCCTAAATATTTTGTCACAAATATCATGCCTTTCGTCTCGGTAAACACGCGATTATGTATTATAAAAAAGTTGTCGTACGCGTTGAATGGATTTGAGAAGAAAGCCGAAGCATTTTTCAACGCTTTTGTCGAATTATATGGATTCGAAGTATGTTTGTCAATTCTAAAGGCATGCTCGCAGTCATTCATTTATGACAAAATTTTGGACCATAAAATTAAATTTTCCGTAAAAGAAATAAGGGCATTATTCAAAAAATATCCAAATCTCGTGATTCAATATCTGCAATTTGGAAATACAAATAATCTAGAGAATGAAAATAATAGCTATGGCTTTCGTGTACAAATACACGAATATGACTCGTTTATATCGCAGCTTCTTAAAAATTATCCGCAAATATTTATCAAACTGTATAGTAGAACACCCGAAAAAGTTTTAAAACTCGAAAACAAATTATCTACTTTATTCGTGAAAAATTTGAAGCAGGATCTCGTACAAAATCCAAATGTATTTCTGAAGCTCATGCCGCTGAAGATTGTGAGGAAGCATCTTGACGAAACGAGCTTCGCTATTATGATAAGCAATTTATTCCCAACGAACGAAAGTGATTTTAATTTAAAAAATATCTTAAAATATTGCAAATTTGACGAAGAAGATAATGTGGTTAGCTTATTGAAAAATACATATAAAGTGCTATATAATAAGAGTTTGTTCGAGAATAAATTATGTCTGGAGTCGCTAGAATTTCTAAAGATGCTACCGAACGAAGATAAAAGTAATTTAATAAGGAATTTCTTAGAGAAATATAACGATAACGCGGAGTTCATGAGCTTATATAAGTATTATTTACCGCCTGATGAGGTCTTATCGATATTGAAAAATAAAATTAAGAGCACAGCGAACGCGGAAGAACGTGCGGAATTAATAGGCCACATGATAATTTCATGTAGCCTTTATCACAGTAAAAAAGATTTATTAGAAGTCTTAAAATTTTACAATAAAAATCATAAGAACGAAAAGAATTTAGTGCTCGTGAGATTTTTTCAATATTTAAAACAAGAATTTGACCTAAAGTCGTTGAATTCGGAACAGTGGTCGATATTGAACGACATTATCTTTTACGCTTATGTGAAAAAGGAGCTTTTCAATTCCTACGTTTCACTCGTGGAGCACGTCTTAGAAGCTTGTTTATATAACATTATTATGTACGAGAAGGACAATAAGTTGCTGTTGGATAAGATTTTCAATGTTATTGTCGAGCACAAGATGGAGCAGTTTTGCACCTTCAATATCTTAAGGGGCACGGAATTCGAAAGAGAGTGTATTGAAAAATGCTTCTCCAGCATACCATTAAAATATCCGGAGAATCATTCGATTTGGGAAATACAGCACGATCGATTATCATTGGCCTTAAATTTTGTAAAGACCATCGATAATTATAATAAAAGAAATTACCAGGTAAAGAAAAGAGGATCGTCCAAGAAAACTTCACTCTGCAATGATGACATCCATGAAAACAAATTGAAAATTAAAAATTATTCCTGGATTGTGAAATTGTCGAAGGAATATTTTTATATGAGTGATAATCAAGCGAGTGTAAAAAGAAATACATTGATCAAAATAGTAAAAGCAAACGCCCCCGATTTGTATGAGGAGATAATGGATAAGATTGTCAACATCCGTAGTATCGAGTCTGGAGAAGCAATTGCGCTACTTAAGAAGGATTACAGAAAAATTCTCGATAACTGGTCCGAATATCTAACCGAAGCTCGTAAAAAATTATATTTAGGTAACAAAGCCGCAAAGCGCTTTATCGTTGCAACAAAGTGGTATCAAGATATACCGGTGAAATTTATTGACAAGTGTATGGCCGAGCTTTACGAAGAGGGCAGCTTTTCCGTTTTGGCACTTTTATTGGAAGGCCATGTTTTTGAAAAAATTATAATACCCTACATTCCCATTAACAATAAAATAGACTTGAATGCCAATGATGCGAAAATAAATTACGAGATCACGAAATCGATTATCAAAGCCATGAAGTATATTAATCCGGTAGTTTCCTTTTCTACCTTAGCTTTATTTTGCAAGGACGATTACGCCTTACTTACCGAGGATACCATATTCAAAGTTGCGCAATATGTGCCGGCCTACAAGGTCTTGGAATTCGCACAGGAATTTATCAATTGCTCGACGCCTATGAAGAAGCAATCCTTTCGATTAATCGAGAGAGTCGCTACGAAAACTGAGTTGAGAAACTTTTTGAAAGACCGCTTAAAATTGGAAACTAACCACTCGGTACGCCTATTAATTGCAAAAATGATATTTAATTTGTTCACAAAATTGCCAAACGTACATAATTGGAAGCTTATGGAAATGTGCATCGATGAGCTGAGCATTGATCAACAAGCGATAGAAATGTTCTCCGACTTTGCGCGAATCGATCCCAATTACTTGCCAATGTACATTGACGCTTACATGAATAAAATTGAAAGCGAATTCAACGACAATGAAAGCAACTTGGACTTTTCGTCGAGAGTAAAATATATCTTACTACTAATAGACAATTTGGATTTGAGAATAATGAATTTACTTTCCGAAGAATTATGCGAGAAAATTGTAAGAAAATACTTTTTTGATCCCGACTCCATGGAAATATCGCGAGCCGTGCAAAATTTCAGCATAAGATTATATCTTTTGCAGTCGGGTGAGAATCTCGAATACCGACTGAACGTCATAATTCAAATTTTAAAAAATATCATGAAAAACTTTAATACACCGCATCCGAAGAAACCGCGATTTTACGCGGCCAATTACACTATTCAGCAATTCTTCAATGACATGCTTCTTGAAATCTCTTGCAACGACAATAACAAAAAGTTAGAAATTGTCGAGAGGATGTTGAAGGTGCTTAATAGTAATTTGTCATCGTGGCAGGAGCCAACGACGTATTTAAGCTTAAATTTATATAAGGAATATTTGTTGGCCAATTCACCAAGTGATTTTGGCGTACGTTGCGCCAAGCGCATTTACGACATAATGGGCGACTTCTCCAGGAGCGAATCCATTATTAATGAAATAACCAAGTGCTTGGAGGACTTTATAGATAATAAAATTTATAAAGAGATTAAAGGCCCTCAATTGAGGATATGTATAATCGAAGGTATGCTTAAGGAGGATAATTATTACGCCAATTTGGTAGGTATTAAGTTATTGGATTGCAACGAGGTCAACATGTACGACGAGCGCTACGACAGGATTTTAAAGACTCTCAAGCAAAAAGAGAATATTGTCATCCAGTGTAACTTGTACCAGCACATGAATAAAATTTCTGCCCAATATAACGAGATCTAAGGCCAATACAACAGCAAGATCACCACAAGATAATTGGACGAGTGAGGAGACCAGGGGCTTCCACGATAATCCATTCTAACCTCATCGATGTCATAATGGCCAAGTGAATAAAGCCTTTTGCTAAATCGATAGTTATCATTGTAATAATTGAAGTAGGGCCCGGTCAGTGTACCGCTTACCGCGTAGTAGTCGACGAGGGGTGCACTGCTCTGCTTGGGAGCGGCGCCTGGCGGTTCGTTCTCGTGGAGTCTGTGAATGTGCCGCTCGAGCTTGGCCCGGTCGAGGGTGGAGAAGCTGCAGTGGGCGCAGGCAACGAAATGGCAGGCGCCGTGTTGTTTCTTCACGTGAGCGTTAAGCATAAATCGCTGGGGGTAGGCTTTCTCGCAGTGAGGACACTTGAAGGGTCGCTCGATGCCGTGGACGAGACGGAGATGGGCCACCAGGCGGTTCACGTAGACGAAGGTTTCGCCGCAGTGGTCACAGATGCGGTCCCCATCTTCCCTCGGCGACCTGCTATGGTCGGATGTCAGGGGGAGAGAGAGAGAGAGACAGAGACAGAGAGAGAGAGAGAGAGAGAGAGAGAGAAACAGAGACGTTAGTTGAGTCTAGAGACTTGAGCACGACCTTTTTTTATTTTCGCGTTAATGCATCTTCTTGGTTATCTTTGACTATATTCGTGTTCAATGGTACCTCCGAATGCTTCGCCTTTTTATTCGCGCACCCGGCACTTTTAAAATAAATCGTAAAGTCTTTCGACCTTCTGTCAATGACTAATGCCCGGAAACAATATAAATTCTTTTTCATCTTCTTCTTCTTCTTAATATAAGAACTTAAAAATCTTAAAAATTCAAACACTTTCTCTTATCGGAGCTTCCATCGTTGTTTCATTACGATCGACATGACGAAAAAATTCCTAAATTCTCGAATATAAGCACCACTGAACACGAATAAACGCAGAAATATATGCATTCACGCATCGTGCATAATCTATTCCGATTTAATTATATCCAATAATATAGCCAATTTGATAATTTAGAATTTATTTATTTTATACGCATGCATTTTGCCAGGCAATATTTCCATGAAATGCTCTTAATTACCAATAGCGTGACAAACAAAATTTCTACTTAAGTACGTTTTCCATCAAGCACAGTGTTATTGCTTGTCAGCCTAACCCTACGACCAATAACAACGTTATCAAACTATCTTAAATTGAATGATTTTTAATTCAGATATTTTTTGTCGCGAATCCAAAAAAAAAAAAAAAAAAAAAAAATTATTTCCTTAGAAAGTTAAACGTTGATATATAAACTTACTTTACAAATGAGTCGATAATGTCTTGCTTGATTTTAAAGTAGTCGATATTATCCAATGCAACGAAAGCATCATCGTGCATATATTTGTTCCAATTACTGTAACATAAAATTTTGTACTTTAGTTGAAAATCTATAATATACGATGATTATTTACGATTGTGTTGTGCATACTTTATAGACTGTAATTACATAAAAAGAATATTTATTTTAACCAATACTACTAAAGCGTTATCATGCATATGTTCATAAATATTATTATTACGGAGACGTTTTAATATTGGTTAGTAAAGTTATATAATAATTTCTTTATATATTAAGAAATTATCACTGATTAATTATTTTTTGTATGTTATTATATTGATTATTGATTTCCATATACCATTAATTGCCTATAACACAATATATTAATTTTAATCAATGGCTAAAAAAATCAATTCCTTTTTAATTAAACATTTAGTAAAGAATTTAAATGTCACTGAAGATTTTTAGCTTAACTTGCTAAAAGTACGAGTTCAATTTACCTTAAAATGTAGGGTTTAGGGTTTGAAATCAAATATGATATTTTAGTCTACAAACATTCCAAAATAAAATTTTATTAAAGAAAATATACATGATATTGTCAAACAATTGTTAAAAATGATATATAATTAATTACGACATTCGAATTCAGTAAAATTATACTGAATTATAACATTGGAATAATTAAAAAATAGAATAAAAAAACATTTACTTATAAAATTTTTGAGTCTGAATTAACAACGTCTCGGTAGCTAAGATTGGCATTTACAAAATAAAAAAATGTAATATTATGGTATTTCATTTTTTAAAACTATACTGTACACAGATATAAACTTTTTTTTTTTTATGCCATAGAGTATTTAAAACATTCATTTTGTATTGCATTTTGTACATTTATTTGATCAATATACAAATATCTCGCTATTACATTGTCGCATAAATATAAAACGATTGATTTGCGCAATATTTTAAGATTGATGCTTTCGATTGATATAATTATTATTGAAATTGAAATAGCATGAAACGTTCCAAATGTATAACATTTCAAAATGTAAAAAAAATTACATTATTATTTATGTTTTTAAATCAAATAAAATCCTAGTATAATAGAGAATTATAATTCCATCGATCTTAAATTACATATCTTTGGATATATGAATAGAGTACATCGTGTTCGCTAGACGGTAGAGAGAGAATTTCAGATGTTCAACAAACATTATTGAATGTTTAATATTTTCAAGTGCATTTATCAATTAGTAAAAAAAAAAAAAAAAAAAAAAAAAAAAAAACCTAATGAATAAAAAAATAAAATATAATTTAAATGACGAAATACTTTTGTGCAGCTATTTATATGCACTTATAATATTTTAGAATAAATAATTTCAACCGAGATTTATTCTCAGTTATTATGTGAATACGTTAGACATCATATGGCACAATTCTTATTTATAATGAAATTGTATTTTACCGTGAAATAAATTGTACCTACTGTGATGAAAATGGCGATCTCCATATTTGCAACATAAAATGTATAAGCTTCTTACGACTTTTATATGATAACGACTTATTATTACAAGCGAGAATGTGATCGCCATATCATAACGATATGTTGAGCTCTAACCGAACTAACTTAACTTAAGTATTCAAGACGAGTAAATATCGACGCTACACCAATATCAATAATATATCGAGATTATATTTTTATATTTCGAGGCTCTATTTCACGTAGTCGTGATCACAATGGAACCCTGTCCAAGTTAAACTTTGTTCAAATCTAAGACCGATTTTCTATTCAAGTAAATGCCAATTCAGCGATCAGTAAGAGCAAACACAATGAGGGATAAAGAGATCCTTTGTATTAAGGATATTGCTTTAATCGAGGCTATCATGAATATTGTTTAAAGAATACGACGGTACGAGTTGCAGATCGACACCTCTCAACATTGACTTATCTCGCTCGTGCCTACGTCATGTGACACACAGGTAAATGCGGCAGACAGTTCAAGTAGTTTTTTTCGTTTGGAATGTAGCAGTATTACACTATCATTCTTCAGCGACAAAGTCTTTATTACGCAAACTCATCGTCAAGTAAGTACACAATAAAATATGTTTTACTCGTACTGCTCAGTGAATCTTGGTGGTATCATATTCTAACCTACGCAGTCTTATCACTCAACGCGACTCGCGATATCAGTCATTGAATAAAATGCAAAATGATTATAATGAATTATTATTATAGACTTTGTACACGTACTTACGAATAAGCATATATTATATAGCGAAATTAGCACCTATTAGCTGTCTTTTTTCTCTTTTTTTCTTTTTTAATTATACGCATAAAAGTACAAATGACACGAAAGACTCGTTTAATTTAAATAATACATCAAGGATATTCTAAAGGCAAACACGAAGATATCGCGTATTACTTAATAAGACTTTTATTCTTAGACTATATAATAGTTTAATGTCATTATTATTCAAAGTGTCAGTAATTCATTAATAAATATATATTAAAAAAATATATAATTAATAAATAATTGTCAAAGGAAGTACTTGTGATTTCGTATTATAATAATTTAATACGATATTATATATTATTATAGTTCATAAGGATTATATATATATATATATATATATATATATATATATTGGTTTGGATTTCGTCATACCTGATTATATAATTTAGTTTTATTTTCATTAAGAATCACAAGAAAAAAAAAAACAAAAAAAAATCCTTTAGTAGTTTTGTATTTGTATTTGTTTTCATAAATGTCAATTAATAGCTGAATTAAACAAAATTAAGTTCCAACAAAGGCCAAAAAAGTATTCAATAAAAGAAGGGTCTGTACAAATTTTACTCTTTCAGCAATACAGATAAGAAGAGAAACAACGATCTTATAAAACTTGCATTCGTGGCTTATGATAATCACATTCTCGTATGTAATATAAAAGCTTCATTGATAAATGATTCACACGACGAATCATATATTTGGGGTATAACAAGGATGGTGATCGCTGTTTTTCACAATGAAGTGCAATTTATTCCACTTTAATATATTTTAACTTTTAAAAACTTAAAAACATTACAACTTTTATTTTTAATTAAGCGTCATTAGCATTGACATCGTATTAATACATACATTTGTACGAGCAGGCGATACTTTATTCCATCAGTCACAGCATATGTGGCGTAAAAGGATCATAATTAACTAAATGTAAAATTATAGTAAATATATTTCTTTAATTGCAAAATGTATACAACCATATAAAATTTTAAATATTATAAGGTAAAGTCTATCCTATTTGAATTTCGCAAGAAATGCTTCATTAATAATTCAATATAATTATCCAAACTATATGCAATAAAATATTCTTCTTTAATATTTAATATTTGCATACGATATCCGTGCATATATATATATATATATATATATATATATATATATATATTTAGTTTAGCACAGGAAGTGTAAGAGAAATTTTAATTTATATATTATGCAAAGGAAATAGAAAATGCGAAATAAAAATGATTAAAAACAGTTTTCAAATTTAAGGAAAGAGAAGATAGAAAGTAGTAAGTAGTTAAATAAAAAAACCTTTAAATAAGTTAAAGAAGAATATTATAAAATAAATTGAGTTGTCATTCTTTTTTTAAAACTCATACGTAATGAATATTTAATAATATTTAATTTGAAAACTTCGTCCATAACATCGTATTTAAAATATTCGTTCAATTTTTTTTTAAAAAGGAAAACTTGTATTAATTTTGTTAAAAAATTTGACTTATCAAATTCCAAACACATTTTATTTAGAAAATTTAATATTCATATTATAGTATTGTTATTATTATTATTATTATTATTATTATTATTATTATTATTATTATTATTATTATCATCATTATTATCATTATTATCATTATTTATTATTATTATATTATTATTATTATTATTATCATCATTATTATCATTATTATCATTATTATTATTATTATTATTATTATTATTATAATTATAAATATTAAATATTTCAGTTAGAAAAATATAAAAAATATTGATATATAATTACATTTATTAAATAATAATGTAATTTTCAGAAAATTGTTAATATACATTCGATATAATAAATTAAAATAAAAAACTTAAAATATATTGTTAAATAGCATGGCCATTAATTTTACGTCCATAATTTCATATCTCCGTAAGGGTTATTACTATTATTGGAATTAATAATAAACATTGAGGACAAATAATCTCGCTTTTTTACCAAACAAAGAAAAAAAAACGACTAAACATAAAATTAAATTAAGACTATAATGTAGTTGTTTCTACACGATATATTTATTTAAGCACTTTAGTTGTATATTTAAAAAATTTAATAACCCGTTTTGTTAGTTTTTGCAAATATAGAAAATCTAATAATCGAACTTGTCTTATAAAATTGCAGTGATAATTTGAATGTTGATAAATTAATTATATTTTATACCATTATTCGGTAGATGTAAAAAATTAGTTTTACATTGAATGTGGAAATCAATTCATTATTTATCAATGCTACTAATGTGCATTACAATATTCTTGTAATCGTTTATTTAGTATACTTAAGTATTCAGAAAGTTAGTTTGTTAAAGATAAATATATTTATGTAAAAGTTTATTTTACAATTACATAATATAATGAAATTAATTGTAAATTGTAAATTAGCTTCTGCGATTGACAATTAAAATATTTGAGTTAATAAATTTTTCTATTATTGAAAAGTTGAATTAATAAATAATGTTTTTATCTTTATAATATATATTCATATAGTTAATATTTTTTATAAAATGCATAACGGCATTACACCTAATTATTTTTAAAAGTGAGAAACAAATTATTTACGTAATAAAACAGTATTTAAAATTCCTCTGTATTTATTATTTGTATACAATATTATTTGTATATAAAATTACGTACTAACAGATTTAGATGATTTAAAATAAATGTTGCTATCCTAATATTAAATTAAAAAATATATTAACTTAATATATTAAAAATTAGTAGATTTTTATAAATTTTTAAGAGAATTAAAATATTTAATATCAATATGGATTAGTTTCGATTAATATTTAGAAATTGCTTTACTCTCTTATTGAGTATTTTCAATGAGATTTCAATGAGATTTATTATATTGAATAGAAATCCATTAAATTTATGAGAGCTGCAGTGATTAGTAGGTTAGCTAGTGACTACGTATATCATAGTTAATATTATCAAACGGTTAAGTACTGGTTAGGATCTTTGAACATTTTAGGAAAACAGCGATTATTAGTTAGCTAAATTTAATAAATATGATTTTTTTAAATATTTATTTTTATAAAAAATGAAGAGGCAGTGACATGATTATTATTATGTTATACCCTAAATATTATAAACACGAAGCCGCGATATTATCTATTATATATATATATATATAATAGTTCCTTTTATTCTGGAGTTAATTCTACCAATAATTCTGTAATTGATATATTTGGAACTATTACGTTTAGTTATCTTGATTTAATTATCAATATTAAATATTTTGTAAAACTAACTTTGATAATTTTATATGTAATTAATTTTATAATTATTTATTACATTTTAATGTGATGTTGAATCAAAATTAATTATTTTTCTTTTTTATGTATTTTACTTTTTTATATATTTTAATTAATATACTTTGTCACTTAAAATATTTCGATTTTTACTTGTTAGGAAAATTTCTATTAATCAATCTCAATTTTATGAATGTCAAATAGACAAAAAAAAATATATATATATATGTTATGCACTTTTATAACTTTAAAAACTAAATTATGTTTTAATGATTAGATTATCACAATGAGTATTAAGTAAATGTTTTGATAATTATTAAACTATGCATATTTTATATTATTAAGATTAATATATCATTTGATTAGTTAAGAAACAATTTAATAGGAATATACGTTAAAAAGGCACCTTGATAATTCTTTTAATTATATTAATAAATCCTTTAGGGTTTAAGTTTTTAACAAATCTTATATTATTTTTAAGACTATAGCAACTTAAAATGCGTTGCTTTTCAATTTATGTGATATTATAATTCACGTTCATTTATTAATACTATAATATTAGTATGATGTTGTGCTTATGTTAATAATATTTATTAGTCAATATTATATAATATATATTATATATTGTATAAATAATATAATAGCTATAATATAATTGCAACCTTTAATGTGAGATTCATTTTATATTTCATACTTACTTATATGGCGTTGAGTTTGTACTAGAATCGTATAAAATTATTTATGCATGTTTTTTTTTTGTTTTTGTTTTGCTCGTTATTGTTGTTGTTGTTGTATTTTTTTTTATATATAGATTTAATATATCGTACATGTAGTATTTTTATTCTATTGCTTAGCAAAGGTTTTGTCATGTAAATGTTATTTTATGAGTATCATGTGTTGCTTTTAATAAAAGCAGTATGTATATAATACATTGCACCATGGTATTTGTAAGTCTAAAATTTGTAAATAAAAAATATTAAATAATTTAACTTATATTTTATATCTTTTTTTTTCTTTTTTTCTTTTTTTCTCTTTTTAATATCGTTATTAAGTAAATAAAAAGCTTGATTCACAAGACTTTAATAAACGCATAGATAACTTATTTATTATAAAATAAAAGGACCAGAATTCTGAAAACTCATACTAAAATTACCTTTTTTATAGGCTCATATAAATATTGGCTCATATAAGTAATGACCATATAATATCAATAGGTTAACCGATTATTCAATATATGAAAGTAGTGAATATATTATATTTTAATATAAGTCATTCATGTAATGTAATGTGACTTTAGAAAATACTGATTCAAAATCAATTTCTTTTTTTCGAATGTTTTATAAATATTATTAATTTTTAAAAACAAAACCTTCTTATTTTAGTCATTAAAATTTAAAAAATAACCTCCATTCATACTTTAAAATGATTTGAATACTGCAACAGCATTCACAAAAACCTAATACCAATATTTTTCTTTTTGTTCCTTATATTTTTATCTATATAGATGTTACGATAGCCTTAAGTTATTCGTGTGCGTGGGTTTCTGTGGAAGTCTTAATAATAAAATTCGGTGTGTAAGTAAAATATTAGGCGGCTGACGACGGATAGATATTTCACGCTTAGGATTAATAAACACTTATTTTGTGTAGTAAATTTTGTGTAGTAAATTTACGAGATACCTGCGACATATGACTGTTGCACTCCCATAATCTTTATCTCGGTGTTATTCGTCCCTATAAGAAAAGAGGACGATCGAAAGGTCAATCGTTGATAAAAAAAAAAATTAAACGCACGTGCGGCTGCAAACGAGCCTTACGGGCTTTGACGCTGCTCGGAAAATTTAGGCCGTAAATACAATGTAAGCCGAAGCGTGTCAATTAGGCCGAAGGTGTCAGCTCAATTCCATTCTTCGTTTTACTCTCGACGTGGATCTTCGCATGCTTCTTAAGGAAGGAGCCCGACACGAATCCCTTCCCGCACTCGTCACATCGGTAAGGCCTTTCGCCCGTGTGGATCCTGACGTGTTGGACTAGCGTCGTCCTCTGTATGAAACTCTTGCCGCAGACGGAGCAAAGATAGGGTCTCTCGCCGGTGTGTATCCTCATGTGCACGCGCAAGTTGTCCCACTTGGCGAAGCTCTTGCCGCAAATCTCGCAGCTGCCGACCTTCTCGCCCCGATGGGCTCTGACGTGCTGGGCGAGCGTTGTCTTCGAGGAGAGCTGAGCACCGCATAGGTCGCAGAGACACTTCTTCGACGGCTTCGGTAGGCCCGCGTGGCTCAAATTCACGTGCCTCCTGAGACTCTCGTCCTTCATGAACGTTCTTGGACAGTGGCTGCACTGGATCAGGGGGCCACGGTAGTCAGGCCTGCTTTCCGGATGATGGCTCTTCTGGTGCGCCACGAGGTTGCGCTTGTAATTGAAGCCCTTGTCGCAGAATTGGCACTTGTGGCTGCCGGCTTTGCCCTCGTGGAGGGCCGAGTGCTCGAGGTACTTGGTGCGCTGCATGAAACCGGCGCCACAAGTGTCGCAGCGGTACGCGTAGTTGTTCGCGTGGATTCGGCGATGAAGCTCGAGGTTCGACTTCTGGTGGCAGGCGTAATTGCAAAGTTCGCAGGTGTATCGCTTAGCTGAGAGGTGGGTGCGCTTGTGGCGCGTTACGCTCAGGGGATTGCGAAAGGTGACGCCGCAGATGTCGCACTCGAAGGGGCGGTCGACATTGTGGATGTGTCGTAGGTGATTGGCCAGGTCGCTCACCTGAGTGAAGCCGGCGAGGCAGATGCCGCAGTAGTGCTGAGTACGGATACGAGCGGGACGCTTTCCGTTGGCGGGGCTCGACTCTTTGCAAGATGACAATGTGACGATGTCCATGAAACTGGAATAAATAAGCACATAATATCGGTTATGGAGGTTTTTCGAGTGGCTCTCTCTCTCTCTCTCTCTCTCTCTCTCTCTCTCTCTCTCTCTCTCTGTCTATGTGTGTGCGTGCGTGCGTGCGTGCATGTGTGTCTTGCACTGATTAGAGGCCACTGATATTATCGTAATTTGATGGTGATTTAAAAATGAGTTAAGATAAGACCAAAATTAAATTAAAAAATTAAATTAAATTAAATTAATTTTCTTAAATTAACCACATAATTTAAGACCCATCACGACTTATTATATACCGTGGCCGATAATCAGTCGCCCTTCACCTGATCCGATCGATCGTATGTTGCTCCTGACTCTTCGGTGTTATAGTTTGATTTGAGCAAAGAATGAAGGAAATTGATAAAGCAGTTAACTATGACAAATTTAAGAATTATATAATACGACTGATACCAATTATTAAGTCAAGCAATTAAATTTCTTAATATACATTAAGTATGGAGAATAATGATACTAGGGAAATAAACGTACAGTTCTGGCGGAAAATTGGATAAAGGGTGGGCCTACTTTTACATAAAATATAATTATTACTTTATACGAATGACTATCATTCAAAATACGAGACAAGTAGACTAAGAGATCACTTGATACAGAGAGTTTTATTCTTATAATTCAGAATTAAATAAAATCTCATACAAATTAATAACCGAGTCAAATATATATTAAATATTTAATACACAATATTTAATAATTCGATTACATTTATTAAAAATAATGCATGGTTGTTCTATTTCTTCTTCTTTATTCTCGTTTTAGATACATCTACCTTATTTCTTTTATATTTAATATTATTTCATTCGTTTGATTCATATTTTAAACGATCGAACGTAATAGCCGAAACACTTTCATGCACAAATCTATGAAAGAATTGAGCTTTCTAAAATTAAACATAAATTTACTAAAATTTATAAATATATTTTAAACGGTGGACTTGCTGCTTATAATTTATACAGTATGAATTCCTTGAGTTATTAACAACAATAACAGAACTTAAATGATGGACACGGTTTTATTTTTAAGATAATTCGGATAACTTGTGGATAATATATATTTGATCGTATTCATGTATCAATTTATAAATTCGCGCTTTTACACAATGCCGATAAGTATTTTAAGTAAATTTAAAATAAATTACGTATTATATATGTATACAGATTTTCTTAATATCTATTATTATGTATATTTTCTCTTTTACATATTGATTGTATTCACACATATTACATCTTTAGAGATCCATCAGTTGAAGATCCGTCCATCATAATAAAGAATTCTTCGTTTCAATTATATAATAAAAATATCACGATTTTTTTTACTAATAAATACATTCAAATGATAGCCATAGATATATATGATGTAAAGCAGAAGCCGAAACTTCACTAGTAACAATAATATGCATGCAACTAATTATACATATCTCAAGGACAATCGCTGATGTATGTATGTACAAATATTTTAACACTCAACTACTTGTATTTCTATACTAATCGAAGGAAATTTTTATAAAATCTGGAAACAAAAATAATTAATAAAATAATTACAAAAAAAAAGGATCAATATGTACCATAAATATTAAGATTTTTATTTAAATGAATTAAAAATCACTTTTAATACAAGATTTGAGAGATAAATTTTGCGGGCATTCAAATTATAACTATAATTTACAACAATATTTTATCATAATTTAACATTGTTAAATAAATAATATATAAATATATAAATACATAAAATATAAAGTGAACAATTATAAATTAATGAATTTGAATTTTTTCGTTTTTCATAGCTAAATTTTGTAAATATTATATATATATATATATATATATATGAATGACGTCTAATATGTTTAATGCATATTCAAGTAAATTTAATATCCTATTTTGAAAGTACATTTTAATATTTAATTTTAAAAAACAGTGGAAATATATTACTTTACGTCATATTACACATAAAACTTAATAATACAAAAGATAATAAAAAGCAAATTATAATTATCATTTTCCAATAAAGCAACTACTAAGTTTCTTACTAATAATTTAATTCAGTTTAATCCCTGTATATTCAAAAAACAAAATACGATATCCAATCATTCATTAATATTTAAATAAGACCATAATTGTCGTATAATGTAAATAAAAAAGCAATCATACATCACAATATATTTTAATATGAATTTACTTACTTGTATCGTATACTCTTAAATGTTAAAATTTATAAATTTATTGTGATACTTACTACTTAAATTTTATATACACAAAGTTAAATAATAAATGCCAATTTTACAAATTTATCAGAAAACAAATTTTTATTTACAATAAATATACAAATTAAAAATAACGTATTCTTCAATTTAAAATGCCGTGTTAAAGTTATCATACTTAAATATAATAAATTATGTATATGTAAGTATATATAACATTATTGTTTTAGTATTTTTATAATTTTTTAAATATAGAATCGTACTACAGATTAATAATATATAAATAATCTATTTTTGCTTGAACAATGATAATTATTAAAAAATAGATTTTTAACTATTGATTTAAATATTCTACAAACTACAAATCAATAATAAATATCTATAATAAATTATATCAGTCAAAACACGTTCAATAAAAAGAAAAAAACAGTGTGGAAATATCTTCATATATTATTAAAGTATTGAATTAATTGGTTTCAATGTTTTTCTTGCAAATGCGAGATTACGTAATTACGAATACTCGTGAATAATTAATTTTGTTATATTCTGGAACATTTTTATATTTTTTTTATTTTTTTTTTTGAATATATATATATATATATATATATATATATATATATATACGCACACATATATAATGTGTGTGTATCAATTAATAGACTATTTAAAATGGTGGAAAAGTAATAAACATGTGCTTATTAAATAGAAAATATTGCGTATGTACATATGAGGATAAAACCTAATAAATCCTCACTTAATGAAAATGTCCATTTTCTGGACATTCGAAGTATTCGTAGTATCGGCCTAATGAATACTGATAATGCAGGTGAGTCTTTACAACGACTGCCTTATACTCCACGTGGCATGTCGATTATACAAACGCAACGCGATGCATTAGAAATGCTTGGAACAATATCGGGGCTTCCATCATGCTTATCTCATCATGGATCATCGATCAGTGCACCAGTAGCGTTCGCCTTCGTCTGCATAAGGTCCGCGATGACGTAATCAATGGAGATCGAGGGCAACGGTGGCAGAGGGCCCGGGTGCTTCTTCCTGTGTGTGATGAGCCCGGGCTTTTGCGTAAAGTTCTTCCCGCAAATGTCGCATACGTATGGCCTGACCCCCGTGTGCGTGAGCAGGTGCTGCTTATGTGTATTTTGCCTCCTGAAAGCCTTGCCGCAGATCTTGCACGGGAAGGGTCGCACCCCCGTGTGTATCCTCATGTGCTTCTTGAGGGCGTCGTTGTCCCGGAAAGTCTTGCCGCAGACTTGGCAGACCGCGCGCTCCTTCTTTAAATGGAGTTGCGTATGCTGCTCGAGCGACTCCTTGGTGGCGAGTCTGCGCTTGCAGACGTCGCAGGCGAAGGGCCGCCGATTGTGGGCATTAGAGAGGTGTTTCTTCAGGGCGAACGCGTTCCTGTACTTCTTGCCGCAGACGTCGCAGACGGCCTCGCGCTCGTCGTTATGCACCGTCTGCACGTGCATGTACATGTCGCTTTTAACTTTGAACTTACTGCCGCAGGCGGCGCACGCGAAGCGGAAACCTTCGGTGTGCTTGCGCACGAGGTGCTCGCGCAGCGACTGCCGGCACTTGAACACGTTCTCGCATTCGGCGCACACGTACCGTGGTAAGGACTCGTGCACCTCCATTATGTGCTCCCGCAGTTGGCTGCGAAGCCGAAACGTCGACTGGCAGTGCTCGCACCGGTAGTCATGGCATTTCCCGTGATCCCGGAGGGTCTCGGGGCTAACGGAGCTCGTGTCGCATCTGTCGCTGAGATTGTGCTCGAGCTTCGCGTGACTCCCGCTCGAGCTTTTACTTCCCGATGTCGCGAGTCCGGGGTTCCGACCGAACGTCCTCGATCCTCTTTGTCGTCGATCTCGCCTCCATATCCTGTTTTTCGTAGCGTTTGTCCCGACCGCGATCTGGCTGAGAGCTTTCCTTCCTCGAACTCGGCAAAGCGCAGCCTGGCCTCTGAAAATAAAAGGCAAACGTGCATGTTAGTCGAGGCGCTCTCTAGTTAGATTTCAAAAGGAGAAGCGGCAGAGATCGTTGTTCATTACAAGATGGTAGCTCGATTATGATGATTACGCCGACGACGACGACGACGACGACGACGACGACGACGACGACGATGATGACGACGGTGACGACGGTAATGACGTTGATTACAACGACGACGACAAACTGGAGGCAATTCGACTATTCATTAGCCCTGAGAAAAGATACGATAGTACGTACACGTTCAAGTTCCGACAATTTCAATGGAAAATAGTATTATATAGGTACGGTAACATGTACCATTCGACTGCTGTGTCAATTATTTATTTATTTATTTTTTTAATAATCAAGAAAGGACTACTACGAGTGCCTTCGACTAAACAGCTGTTATAATTAATTTTGTATAATACGCTTTATCACTTATAGCATTATAAAATCGTAACACAATTCTATTTCTTTTTTATAGCTCGTAATAAAGATTAGAGCTGAATTTTAATAGTTGAACACATCCTTAATACACTAGAAAATTATATAGCTTAAATTTTGATGCAAAAAGTTATTTTCGGTGTATGATTTTTATTGGTTTTATGTCTACTGTGAGAAATATTATAGGAGGATACTAACAAGATGTTTACAGTGAAAATAAAGAAACAAGAAAAATTGTGAAAATATATATTTGAAATTTATAGATATACATAACAACATGTAATTATTTTTGGCAAAAAATGTTTTTAAAAATGTGACATAGGCTATTAAAACTGATAATTTAGCGTTAAAATATTTTTTTACTATTTTTTCCTTGAAATAATACTTTTACAGTTTCAATAATAGAAAATTTAAATAGATAATGAAGATCTAGTCATTTTGCAATAATAATAATAATAAAAAAAAAAAATTAAAAAATTAAAAAAAAATAATAATAATTATCGATGCACATAAAATATGAATAAATATGAAAGGTACCAATCGTTTATAATCATTAATTTATGAAATTGGTATTTACGGACTTCGAGTGCATGAAAAGAATGAAAATGATATTTTAGAACATAACGAATAGTATTACAAATTTTACTCGAAAAAATTATTACTACGAAAAATTCTTACGCTTTAAATATATTAACATCCTTACTATACTATATCGAAGTATGTAAATATAACAATGATATTTATGCTGAACGAGCGATCTATTATTTTATAATAAGATAAATACGAAACGTCAAAATAAAAAATAAAATCGTATAGCAAAAAATTAAAATTATAGACCGCTGTGATCGAATGATTGTTAATATAGTTTGAATTTAATAAATTTCATGTACATTAAATATTTGTGATTTTTCTTTTATACACATTAGACATGCTCATAATTACAGAATTTTAAATAGTGTTTGATAATTACATTGTTTAATTACAATGTTTAGTAAATGTATTTTATACATGTAACGATTTTTATTTGTATTTATTTAATACGTGTTACCTTTATTGAAAAACAAATGAAAATTTAAATGTAAGATAGAAAAGTTTTTCATAAGTAGAAAGTAAAGATTATTATGTAAATACTATCGTAATAATAATTTAATAATGCAGAAAATTTATGCGTGAACCGTGAAAATATAAAAAAAATCTTACAAACATTTTATTGCATTATCAAATAACTATATTATAAATCGTCAATCTTTGATTGTAACAAATTAAATTGTTTTACCTATCTAAAAGTTGATCGAGGACAAACAAAATTTTATATTACATATTATTGATGTACGAGCCTATATTTTTAAAACTATTTACATTTAATATAAATTATGTATTATTCCGTGAAAGTTATTATAGGAATTTATTATGTTGAAATCATTGTTTGAAAAGTACGTTCGGAAATGTTTAAATTATTAAACAATAATCTCCTACGTAGAGCTGCATTGAATTTCATTTTGAAATAATTTGAATCAATGTTTAAATTTATCATTGTTATTGAATCTTATAATAATATAGTTATAAATAAATGAGTTATTATTATTATTAAAAATACTAAAAATAGTCATTCAGTCCACAAGGATTAAAAGGATATTCTAAATTAAGTTTCATTTTACACAATAATTGGTAGCTCTAGGGTACCGTTTAAATGCAAACTTCAAATATTTTCTTTAAGCTCTACGAGATTAGGGGCATCTCTTCAGTTTTTGCGTGCATGACTGAATTATTACAAGATAACAAACAGTCCGTATTTTGTGAAAAATAATTATGAAGAAGCAAATTCAATAATGATCTGCATCAATCACATAAGATTTATATTTAATTGGCAAAATATAACTTTTGCCCTATGTTCAATGGTAATTCACGCAATTCACAGGTTCGAATGAAACTATACACATATTTTATCGCAATTTAATGAATAATCACTGTTCTGTTTTTGCATTCTTCATATTATCTTCGAGCACCTTTTGTTCCAACACCTCGTCGAACCTCCCTTCATCCCTTTCCCCCTTCACCGACACCTCTTCTGCCACTATTCTATCCTCCATCCCGTCCACCTCTTCAATATGCTCCTCATTCTCCTCCCCAAAATCAACTCCCACCCCCATCTCGCCCTCCTCCACCTCCTCGTTAGCCATCTCGTCGTTCTCCCCCTCTCCCTCCATATCCTTCCTCCTTCTTCTCCTCCTCCTTCTCCTCCTCCTCCTCCTCCTCCTCCTCCTCCTCCTCTTCCTCCTCTTCCTCTTCCTCATCCGGATCATCTTGATCTTCGTCCTCGATCTTTGTTGGCGGATTGATCGCCAGGTAACCTTCTGTAAATTCTTTAACAATATCACCGATCGGCATAACTGGCAATGGCGGATGCGTACCCGGATGCGTCTTCCTATGGCATATCAAGCCCGGCTTTTGGGTGAAAGCTTTGCCACATATATCGCACACAAAGGGCCTCTTGCCAGTATGTATAAGCAGGTGCTGCCGCAATTGGGACCTTCTCGCGAAGGGCTTATTGCATATTATGCATACGTAGGGCTTGTTGCCGGTATGTACAGCCATGTGACGTTTAAACGAATCCTTTTTGCTGAAGGTCTTGCCGCACTCGGCGCACACGATTTTCTCGCGCTTTTCGTGTTGCATTATCATGTGCTGATCGAGATTCTCCTGAGTCACCATGCGCCTTTTGCAAATCATGCACTCGAACTTGGGCTTATAATGCGCCCATTTCTGATGCACATAGAGAGAGCCGCTGTTCAAGCACAATTTACCACAAACGTCACAATTAACAGGCTTCTCCTTATGATGGAAGCGCACGTGGTTAGTCAGATCGCCCTTGACTTTGAATTTCTTCGGGCAGAATTTGCATTGGTGCTCGTAGTCGTCGGTGTGCTTCCTAATGAAGTGTGATTGAAGCGAGTGCTTGGATCGGCAGACAAAGCCGCAGGCGCCACAGGGAAAGGCGTTCGTCGAATTTTGACGTTTGCGCGACCAGGTCTCGTGCTTGCGCTGCAGATGCGCGGCGAACAGGCTCTTCTTTAAGCTCCGGTAATCGCAAACCGAGCAAATGTAAGCTCCGTTCTCTTGAATGCAAACCTTCTTTTTATGCGTCCAGGCTACGTGTCTCCTAAATGCCATGGTCGATTCAAATGTCTCCGAGCAGGCCTTACATTTGAGCGCCGGAGTGCCGGGCCCGCGTTTACCTACGTCCAACTCCATCTCCGCTTCTTCGCGTCCCTCGTCGTTGGTTACGTCGTGCCCATCCGCCACGGCTTTATCGAGCTTCGCCTCGTCAACAACGGCCGTCGACTGCTGTTGATTCACATTCAGATTTTCAACGTCGAGCTTTTCAAGCGTAACGACGCCAGCCTCAACCTTCACCTGATACAAATCTCCATAAGACTTCTCGTTGTCGTTTTGACTTTGTAACTTGCCGTTAACGATGACGGGCTTCACGTTCATCAATTCGGAAGTCTGCAGCGACTGTTCGTCCGAAAAATCCTCGTCGGCTTCGTTCGACGCCTCCGCGCTGCAGGCTTTCACACTCAAATCGTCGGATTTCCCTTCGTCTTCGAGGCGACGATCGTCCTCCACCTCGTTATCGGTAAGCTGTTCGTCGAGGACAAAGGTGACGTCATCGCTGAGCTCGGGTATCGAATCTTCCTCGATGGGCACGTCGTTGTCCTCGGGTACGAAGGCGTAGTAGGGGTTGCCGTCGAATTCGAGGATCTGCCATTTGCGCATTACCAAGGACTCACGCTCGAAGATGAAGAGCCCACGGCCAGATGAACGCGCGACTGACCTGAAACATCCACGGCACGTGTGTGTTACATCGGGTTGCTGAGGTGTACTTTTGTATGGGCGGTGGTACGGGACCGAGGACGGTTGTTTTAATAGTTTATTACTACACGGTTTTCAGACGATAATTCGTGTGTTCGTGAATACATATTTTAAGGCACGCGCAGCTACTTAGTGCGCTAATATACTAATGAAGCTGGATCGTGCACGTGTGTACGAAAATGCTGGGAAATTAGGATTACAAATTGATTGCAAAGAATACGCATAGAATACGACGTAACAATTATTCGTTAAATAAGATTAATGAGCTCGATAAATGATGTAATCATGATATTATTGTATAGATACACAATAATATGCTATCTTAAATGTTTAAACGAACATTTCATTAATAATCTCTCTTTGTAAAATAATGCAATTCTAGTATAACTTCAAAACTATTAAATAATGGGGTGCCTGTGTAGGATTTAATTTTTTTTTTATTTATTTATTTATTTTTTTTTTAAATAATCGTCGAGTAAATTAATTTATTTTTAGTTTCAATAAATAAAATTCAGTACAAATTTATAAGAATTTCCATAAAATGTCATCATGATCGATATTATTATTATCATAATTTTATTATTAATATTAATATCATTATTGATCATTACATGGATTTTATTAGAAGTAAATAAAATATTTTCTTATACATTTAACAATAATTCGATGATTGATATATACATATTACCGGTTGTATTTCCACACAAAGTCTTATCTGAAATAAGAAAAATTATTATTACGATAAATATATAAGTGACGTATTATTATAAAAATTAAATAAATTCTCAATTAGAAAAAAAAAAAAAAAAAAAAAAAAAAAAAAAAAAAAATCGAGTGATATTCAATAACATTATTATTCTGATAATTTACTTACCGTATTAGAAACAATTTTTTTTTCAATCTGAAATAAAAATAAAGATTATATAATAATTAAAAGTGATATACATAATATAAGTAAACATTGACCTTTATTACGAAATTACAATTATATTTTCAATTTATAATTAAATGAAAATAACAAGAAAATATATTGTATTAACATTAAATCGCAATTTGTTTTTTTAGTTTTCAATAATTATACAAATCGTATTTTTATTGAATTAGAAATTAAGTAAATAAAACGATATCAACGTAATTTCCATGTTAGCATAAATTTAGCTTTTATAAATTTTATCATAAACAGTTACTATAAACAGTGGTTCAGTAACTCTCGGTTTTTTTTTTAATAATCGTAAATTTAATATCTTAAAATGGAAATTAAATTTAATAAACTAAAATTTATCAAAGTAAGCACATCTATAGTTATAATAATTTCAATTACAGAAAATGATAAACGTCGAAATTAAGTTTATAATCATCATAATAATAATGTGAATTATATAAAAATAAATGTTTTAAATATATTATAAATAAATTAATAAGCTTTATGAGACAATATTTCTTTATAGTATTACAAATTATCTTTCCATTAAAGTCATACAGATTTCAATTTTTTTCTTCTCTTTCCTATTTTTTTTTTTTTTTTCCTTTTTTTTTTTTTTTTTTTTTTTTTTATTGTAACATTTTCTAATTGATTGTAATGTAACATATTTTTATAATTATACGTATACACGCACATTCAATCAAATAATTTCTGAGTCAAATGTGTCGGAATGAACTTTTACATTTTACATTGCTTTATTCATGACTACCAGTGCATAATAATGAAGTAAATTATTATATTTATTACAATACTTTCACTATCTGACAATAATTTTTCTAAACAGCTGTCCAATGGAAATATATATTTTGAAATTAGTCATTTCTTTTTAAATGGAGAGTAGAAAAAATGGTGTTGATAGAAGGGCTATGCTGCTCTTAGAAATTCTACGTAGTCCAAAAGGTAATATACTTATTAAGAATCACACTTAAAATAATAATAATAATAATAATAATAATAATAATAATAATAATAACAATAAAAATAATAATTATTATTAGAAAATTAAAAAATGCTTTTGTCATAAAAAATTTTTATAATATTGTTCAATCTGATAGTGAATAAAATTACAGAAAATATGTTTTATCGTTTAATATAAATTATAAATCGATAAAAATTACATAAAACATAGTTATAATTTTAAAAACTATAAATTATAAATTCTATTTTATTTGAATGAACATTAATTGATAAATGTGTAAATAATTTTGTTAAAAAATAATTTAACATCAATAAGGGGTCAATACTAACAATTACAATAATAACCATTAAAAGAAGAAATTTCCTTCTATTTTTACTATAAAAAGAAAATGACAAAACTATAGTTTGCATTTTATAAAATGTAACTTGACATTGCTTAAACTGCTGAAAAATTGCATGTATTGTATAAAAATAAAGATGTATGAAATGCATTTATAGACAGAGGTTGCTATTATTGAAATTAAATTATTACTAATACTTGCTTATGTCATATACATTTTTAACTTTGTACATTAAGGAAATTTCACTAGTCAATAAGATTCTTCGATCGACTTATTATATAGCAGTTTAAATGTTTAAATAGTTGTAAAGATTTTTTAATGTCAATGTTTAAAATACTGAATTACAAAAAATCGAAATTGTATATGGGAAACAGGATAAATCGATAATTCTATTGTAAAATAATTTTTAATTACACACCATTTGTTAATATTAAAATAATCTAATATTCTATATCAATATTCTGTAATCGAATTGCTAATTTTCGATTCTTAAATTACACTGCGATTTTCTTGTTACTACGAACGAATTCATTGCTCATCGAATTTGAAGGATTTAAATGATTGATGATTTTCACTCAGCCTCTTGAGAAAACCGCATATTTCATACTAATGATCTTGATGGATGCAAAAAGCGAATTGCAGCGAATGCTTTTCAAGTTAATTAAAATCCACAACAAGTCGGCAAATTAAAAATATTGAGTAGTTGAAGAAATAGAGGAAATGTTTTATCGAGAGTGAAAATCGTGAAGGGCAAGCGTGTTAAGCACAACGAGACAGACGATCTCGCTTAAATGTCGTTGTTGTCGTCCGTTTTCTGCACAAACTTATCTAATATATGATCAATATAAACGACGGGCAGCGGTGGCTTATCACCTGGATGCATCTTTCTATGGCAAATAAGCCCCGGCTTCTGGGTAAAGCTCTTGCCGCAAATGTCGCATACGTATGGTCTTTGGCCCGTGTGGATGAGCAAATGCTGCCGAAATACGGCCCTTCTCGCGAACGATTTGCCGCACACGTGGCAATTGTGCGGTCGCTCCCCCGTGTGCGTCATCGCGTGCTGCCTCAGCTTGTTCTGCTGATCGAAGATCTTGCCACACTGCTCGCAGATGAATTTCGTTCTCTGCTCGTGCTGACGCTGGATGTGCTCGTCAAGATTCTCCTGCGATACCATTCGTCTTTTACATATGCTGCACTCGAAGTCGGGCTTATAGTGCTCGCGCTTCTGATGCACTCGCAGGGCATTGCTGTTGCTGCAGATCTTGCCGCACACGTCGCACACGGTTGGTGTCCTGAAATGTTGGAAGCGTATGTGGGAGGTGAGGTCGCATTTGACTTTGAACTTCTTGCCACAGTACTCGCAAGTGTAGCGGCACTCGGTCACGTGTTTGCGCTCGATGTGCATCTGCATCTTGTGACGATCGGTGGTTGAAAAATCGCACTCGTCGCAGTGCATCTCCATGGGCGGCTGCTTGCGGGATTTAATTGGCTGGAGGTAGCCGGGGTGTTTCCGGCGGGTGTGAGCGTTCAAGGTAGATCTCGTCGTGGCAGCGAAATGGCAGTAATAGCAGGCGTGATTGCGAATTGCCGGTACGTATTGCTTGGTAATCTCGTTGCTCGCCGAATTATCTTGCTGGCTCACAGCTTCTTTCCATTCGCTATTGTGCTCTTGAGTCAAGTGCGCGTTCATGAATGATCTCCTCGTCGCTTGGAACTCGCAGTGCGGGCAATTGTACAATTTTCTTTTCGGGATAGTCGCTGGTTTATCATGTTGGTCCAGCAGGATGTCGTAATCGTCGACATTGAGAAATTCCACGTCCGTATGAATTTCTATATCGTCTTCGTCGATAATTCCTACATCCTTCTCATCCAGTTCTTCGATCTCCTCGGTCATAATTGCCACGTCCGAGTCGAATATTTCTTCATCCTCTTTCAGCAGTGCGATTTCGTCTTTCGATTCATCATCCACCATTTCCAAGGGCTCATCCTTTACATCCAAATGTGCAGGCTCGATTGCCACGGTAACTGTTTGCGTGCGGACGGCAACAGATTTTCTGATATTTCCGTGTTTACGCGCCACGTGCGAAGACACTTGCGACTGAACATTCGATGCGTACGAGCAATAATTACACACATACAGCTCGTGCTTATTCTTACGATAACCACCAGCTTTCTCCTTCAGTCGCTCAAGGATACTTTTCGTTTTTCTTCTCTTTCTCTCCACCGGCAACATATCTCTTCTGTGGACCATACTCATGTGCTTGTCAAACATATCTTCTATCGGGAAATAGATTTTGCAGGGTTTACATGTAAATAGTGTCTCCGTTGAGCTGTCGATGTCGGTTATCGGGACAGACGTCGACGAGCGTCCGTCGATCGAAACCTCCTCGAAATCGTCGATAAAATTAGGTACGTCAAGAATTTCGGATTTCGTTAAATTACTTATCGTAGGCACAATGGTATCGTATAAAGTGTCCTCGTCGATTGTCTGTAGAGGCCCGTATTGTATGCAGTCTGTATAATCGCTCTCCTGGTCCCTGCAATAAGAAAAATTCTTGATTAGTATAATGAATTATGAGATTTTTGACCTTATAGCAGTGATAACAACTTCACATGACGTTGAAAATCATTGATTAGTTGACGTTAATTAGCGACGACCATGAAAATTGGATTCATTTCATTCTTAAATTCGACGATAATTTTTTAGCAAAATGAACATATATTCATTATTATTAGGATTTTCGTAAGAATTGATTATCAAAGAAATTCTGAAAGTAAATCTTGCAAGACAGAAGATAAATTTAAAAATATATTCTATAGCATGATTGAAAATGCGCCAAATTGAAAATAAGAATGAAAAAAGAAAACCAAAAATAACGAAGAAAAAAAAAGACATCGACGAATATGTAAATTAAAATAATGTAAGCCGTGATTTAAGTGACAGTAATTATAATTATCACAAAACGATAAAATATAATTAATAATATTTCTATTCAATTTTCCTATAAAATTACTTATTCAAATTATTTTTAACTATTCTTCGTAATATGGTTTTACAAAATATCTTACACGAAGCTTGATTACAATCTACAATTCGGTATGCATCCTATTATTATTATTATTATTATTACCATGATTATATAAAAACATTATTTATGCAATCCTTAAAAATATCGCCTTAAGAAAATCATGTACATTTACATACCTTTTTCTTGAATAGTGCTTAAACATTTATTATACATCATTAAGATTTGTCAATGGTATTGTAAGTACTTTGCATGCAGTATAAATAATTATAAATGTTGCTTGGACATTAGAATTAGAGCTAAGTTCAATTTAATCGAAATCGAGATAGATTCGCTATTAATTGGTTTCTCAACCTCTCCATCACCAAAGGGTTATGTTTTAACATATAGTTTTTAAATATCATTGTCTAGGTAATCGGCAGTATTGATTAAAAGCTTTACATTACGTAAAACCACTAAAAAGAAAATGATCCCAATGGAAAAAAAATGATTTTTCTAATAAATATTGTTCTTTGTGTGAGAAACAATAAAGTTGTTTTTATTACAGTAGATGGATAATAAAATAAGGCAAATGAAACAAGGTTTGCAGCTCTTCATTAAAAACTTTTAAAATAAAATTTAAATACATTTAAACGTATTTATTCTGACACAAGTGCATTTTTTACATAGTTTACAAAAGTGCGTTATGCTTTGTGATTTCTTAGTACTTAATATGAGGTATAATATACGTATTATTTTAACAATCGATTTGTATAAAGGAAAGATATAAATTTATATCAAAATTCTTGTAATTTCAATATCGTTCGTGTTTATTTCTTCATTCTTTTATATATATATATATATATATATATATATATATATATAAATTATTAGTGTAGAGGTATGAACTTTTATTTCCATACAAAATTATAACTGTCACATGCTTAAGCTATTAGTCAGAAACTTGACGTTTAAATTTCAAATTCTTTGTAGCTTATTATATTTAATTTAATTTTTAATATAAGAGTCAGTTTTATCTTAAATTATATTTTCTGAAATTTATATTGTATAAAAATTTTTGATACACTGAATTTCTCTTCTTCTCACAAGAAATTGTGTTGTTTAGTTAAAATATATGCACTTTTCGTATATTCTTTGCAATTTTTTCAAAAAAAAAAAAAAAAAAAACCCAAGATTACATACAGCAAATATAAGAATTTTTATAATCGTAATTCCTAATTACTAATATCTTATTTAATTTAAATTAATATTATCTTGCATAGTTTATGATTTAAATTTAAGAATAGCATTTTTTTACTCGATATATTTGAATGAATGACGGTTCGAATTAGTAAATGTAGATGCGTTGCGATGTTTCAATTCAATTTCCATTAAAACAAGTCATATACAATTATATAAAACAATAAAAAAAAAGGTCAGCTCTAATCAAGTATTTAAAATGAAGTTTTTCATTGCAAAAGCAACAACTTCAATTAATACGGTTAATAAAAGTTATGTACGTAAATATTATACGAAAGATTATAAATTTCAACAAAAGGACAGAAATTTAAATCAAATACATAATAAATACAATAAGTCAGTTATCTCGAATATCAACAATTATTTAGAAGAAGAAATTAGTATCTGATGTTTCAGAAAACATTATTGATAATCATAACCGACAATTGTACTAAGCTTGCGAATATTGAAAATCATAATTAAATGAGACAGAGACAAGGAATTTGTTTGGATTTTTGAAAAATTTTTTAAATCAGCAAAATAAAGCGTACTACTTTTAGAAATCCTTCAATTTGTGATGAAAGTTTGTTAAAATCAAAAATTCAGTCAGCATTTTAACGTTTGTTCCAATATCACTTGAGTAGTACGTTTAGAAAAATTTACTTTAAAGAATGAAAAAATTAATTTTCCATATTATGACTTCAAAATATTAAAAAATTTTGCCGCTTTCAATTTTAACATTTTCTTTTCCTTTTGCAAAAATTTACGACGTTGAACAAACGTTGAAACTCTGAATAAGCTTTAAGACGATGCTCACATGCATTACATTAATTAAAATAATAAGTAAAATAACAATTTTGCAACACAAATTCCACATATATAAATATAAAAATTAAAAATTAAAAATTAACACTACAATAATAATTTGACTTATTGCTTCTTACATAGTTATCTATCTTTGTTGTATTTGTTCGTATTTTGTTTTGTTTTTTGTTTTTTGTTTTTATTTTTTTGATTTTTTATGGTATTTTTTTTTTTCAAGTTTCACTGATTTCCTTGCTTAGTTATTGACGACTAAAGACTAATCAAACTCTCGTCTCACTTTACGTGCGTATAATTCTAATTAAACTTGCCAAACAAACGTAAGATGAAGCTTCTCTCACTAGCAATTAAATGTGCAATAAATTTCGCGGTGCCACGAATTTGCTGCTTTAGCTCAACACTCCTCGTTCAGCAGATCTGATAAAACATGATCTATCGTGACTCTGGGCAGAGGTGGATGCGATCCAGGATGGCTCTTCCTATGGCATATGAGTCCCGTCTTCTGAGTAAAACTCTTGCCGCAAATGTCGCAAATGTATGGCCTCTGGCCCGTATGAATCAGCAGATGCTGCCTGAGTCCGTTCCTCCTGGCGAAGGCCTTGAGGCAGACCTTACACGTGTAGGGTTTGACGCCCGTGTGTATCCTCATGTGTATCTTAAGTCGAGCTTGTTTCGTGAACTTTTTGCCGCACTCCTCGCACACGGCATCCTCCCTCTGCTCGTGCTGCTTGAGTATATGGTCGTCCAGGTTGGCTTGGCTCACCATTCGCCTGTGGCACGTTGGGCACTCGAATTCCGGCTTGTAGTGAGCGAACTTTTGGTGCAAGTATAGGAGATTGCTGTTCCTGCAGGTCTTGCCGCAGACGTCGCAGATAATCGGTTGCTCCCGGTGCTGAAAGCGTATGTGATTGGTCAGGTCGGCCTTGATCTTATACTTTTTACCGCATATCTCGCACTCGTGATTGTAATCGTTCGTGTGCTTCCTTATCACGTGCACCTTCATCACGTGCTTATTCTTGCTCGTGTAGTCGCACTGCTCGCAGGCAAACAAATGGTCTGGCTGCTCGGGCTCGTTCTCTCGGCTATTGCCCTCCGCGTCCCTGTGCTTTCGCTTGATGTGCAAATATAGCTGCCCTTTCGTCCACGTGGAAAAATCACAGTCGTTACAAAAATAGCTGTTGCCGTCGTCCTCGGCATTCGGTGGCGCGCTATGCTGCCTCTTGTGCCAATCCATCGTTTTACCATTAAGGCATTTGAAGTCGCACTGCTCGCACTCGTGGTAGTTCTCCTTCGCGTTAATGTCCCTCCGCGACTTGTTGTGCTTAATGGATATATGCCTTTTGAGGCCCATACGCGACAAAGTCTCGTACGAGCAGGCGTGACAGGCGAACATACCCTCGGCGTTGGCCTGGGCGGTGTGGCAGCGCTTTACGTGGAGCTGCATGTTCCGACGATTTCTCGACTTGTAGTCGCACTGGTCGCAGTCGTACTCGGTCACTGGAACCTCCTTGATCGGCTGTCTTTGGCCCTGATGCTCGCGGCCCGTGTGCGAATTGATGCTCGCCACTGTGGCCGCGACGAACGTGCAATAGTGACAAGCGTAGCCGGTATACAATTGGGCATTGGGCAGTCTGCGACCGCTTATTATTGCCGGCAATTGTAGGACACGGCGGCGTGTCACATTGGCGGACGTGTATTCGCCGCAGTGATAACGCGCCACGTGCGACTGCATGGTCGAGCGAATCCATGACTCGAAGGGACAAAACGAACATTTTCGTGATTTTCGCGTTGTCTCGATCTCGCGCGGTCGGGCTTCCTCCTGCGCTACTGTCGACCCCTCAACCTCGCCCGCCCCATCGGTCGTTTCATTCTCCAAAGGAGAGCTATTATTCTTCGCGGGATCAATCCTCTCGGCGGCTTCGTCTTGCCCCAGATCCTCGGCTCTGTCGACAACCTTCGTACTTTCCTCCTCGGCACTTTGCTTCTTCGTCCTCTCGCTCGCCTCGCCTTTAATCGGCTCGTCCGATGATTTGTGCCTTTGTGACGCGTGAGTGCGCGATGCAGCGCGCTTTACAGTCGCGTAGTTACAACGCTGGGACTTACATTCCTGGGCGTCCGGCCTCGCGAGTCCGGTCTCGAGCGACGGACTCTTGCCGATGGATTCGAGGTAATTATTGCGGTGCTTTCTTTTAACGTGCGAGTGGAAAGTTGAGCTATTCGCTGTCGCGAACGAGCAATACGGGCAGGTGCGCGCTTTACTCGCGGGAGCCTCCTCGCTCTCGGATTTGTTCTCCTCCTCCGGCTCCTCCACGAACTCCATCGGCCACGAGTCCTCGTTATCGTCTTCCAACGTCTCGATCTTGAGAGCTGCGCTATCATCGTCCTCGAGTTTGCTTCGGGCAACTTTCGTATCGACATTGGTTTTCATAAGCGATGCGTGCTTGCGTAACGTGTGCGACGAGACGCTTGTGCGCGCGAACGAACGGAAGGGGCAATAGTTGCAAACGTATTGGCCACTCTTCACCTTATGATAGCCCGCGTAAAATATCCGCTTCCCTTCGCTGGAAGAGGGATTCGACTGTTGCTCCTTAAGCGCCTCATCGTGGACCAGCATTTTGTGCTTCTCGAGCATACGCTTCGAGGAAAAATATGTTTTACATACGCCGCACATGTAAACGATAATGTCATTGCCAGTTTTGGGGATAATAGCGTCAGTGGTGGCTGCGTGATCAGTGCCGTCGATCCAAACTTCCTCGAAGTCGTTAGTCGCTATTATCTCGGACGGTTCAATTTTTACTTGAACTAAGGGCGATACACTAGCGCGAATCACGTTACCTTCGGCGTCAATGAGTTGCCAAGGATTGATTTTCACGAGTTTCTTGTGGAAGACGAGTCGATTAACGCCTTTTAATTGAATCCTGAAAATTAAAGAAAATCATTCGATTAATGATGGTTTAACGTGCAAGTATAGACCATACAGCATCGATGGCATTATAAATATCGACGTAGGACTTATTTAAAACTGGAAATAAATATAGGAGATTATTTATTTGGATATTTGGAATGAATAAGAAGTTTTCGCTGAACTGCTGTAATCGACTTTCTATCTAAATTGATCAAATGGAGAGTATTCTAATACCATACGGTGTAGTCTGATTATTATGTTATTTTTTCTTTATTTTTTATTTTGTATTGGCTTTGCGTACTTAAATTAAACTTATTTCCATTACCAAGTATTATATCTGTGTATGTTGTATGTTGTATAAACTTGCAATTTAGCAAATATAAAACATACAGAAATATTAATAAAGTTATAGTAACTATGATTGGAACATTTTATGTTAGTAATGTGTCAATATTTTATTATACGATCAATGCTGTATGGTTTCCAAGGGTTTTGCATTTTTATTTTATTACCTAAATCCAAGGGAATTATGTACTGGATTGATCTACACAGTAATTATTGTAAAACTGCTTAAATTATCATAGGGCATATATATATATATATATATATATATATATATCTAGATATATTACAGTTAATATAATAAGAAAGGATCGTAAAATATGTGCTGAATATTTTAGTTTTAAACGTTATATTTTTAAACCAATTTTTACAATTTTCACAGAATTTCGTAATATAAATTTTTAAATTGTAATTCCTTAGCTCGGCTTACAGAAATTATAGTACACGATTTTCTTATAATAATCGTAGCTATGTACAAGACAATTAATTCATCATATTCTGATTACGTAAAAATATAATTTTTACTCTTTCATTATATACTTTTCGTGTAATAATTCAAGTTTTTTCTTAAATTAAATACAAATACATGGACAAATGGATTGATTAAAAAAAAAAAAAAAAAACAAAAAAAAATATTAAAATTTTATAAATATCTGTTGTAGTTTCGAAACGTTTTCAATGTCAATTGAAGTTTCTAAAAACTATCATCATACAATAAATCTGTTTAATCGTTTTTTTTTACTCGATGATTATTCGATAGTCGGATCAATTTGTTGATTCATAAGCGTATATAAAGCAGTATATTATCGCTTTCTTTGCAAATACTATTCAATTCTATTTACAAAAATTTTTATACATGCTCATTAAGAAATAGGACTTTGGAGGAATCATATGACGATTTTATAATTAATACGAATATCAAATAGTATTAATTTTTCAAGTGGCTGATTTATTTAGTTTTTTTTTTTTTTTGCAATAAAATAAACTTGACTTGATATATATTGTTTTCAATGTAACATAATCTTTGGCAATAAAATTTCAATAGATATTTTTCATAATAATTGCATAACATTCTATAGTGGAAAACATTTTTACGGCAAAAGAATTCTAAAATAAATAAAACACACGTTGCATTTATCAAATTTTTTACGGAAAAAATGTCATTTTAAATGAGATTATACAATGTATAATAAAAATATGAAAATAAAAATCTCTATTGTTTTTAATTAGCCGAAAATAAGATACTTATTGTTTAATTTAGGTTTTACTCTCACTCAATAAATAACAAAGCAATAAAAATCATTTTATTATGGTAGACAATATTATCAAATCTAATAAAAATAGCCAAGCAATTTAGATTAATTTTAAGCTGACGTTTTAGTGAATTTCGTTGCAGTATTATTGATAATTCAAAGCATAAATTGGATTCGCATTAATTGTTTATTTACCAGGTAATATAATACTTTATCAGAAAAATAGAATGTCTAAACTAATAAAATTATCAAAATTTAAAACTTTAAGTACAATAAGAGAAAAATAATAAGACTAACGTTATAAAGAAAATTATCATTGAATTTGTCATTATCATGTTTATTATTATTAATTATTGTTATTATTGTTGTTATTGTTGTTGTTATTATTTTTGTTATTGTTGTTGTTATTATTGTTTATTATTGTATATTATTATTATTATTATTATTATTATTATTGATGAAAAATAAATTATTAATGACAAATCAATATATCAGAAATCAAGTCATGAAAAAAAAGAATACTGTTTGTTCAATAAATCTTAATCGACTTAATATCAAAATAATAGCTTTCTAAATAATTTTCAAAAAGGAACAGTCCACCGCTTGTCTTACATTTTGAACAATGAAATATTTCGAACTCTAGATGATCGGAATAATAATATCCTCTCAATGTCTTTATGATTCATCAGTCAATAATTCAGAAAGTACATGGTCAATAGTGACTCTAGGCAAAGGCGGATGCAATCCTGGATGGCTTTTCCTGTGACTGATCAGGCCCGGCTTCTGAGTGAAAGCTTTACCGCAAATATCGCAGACGTAAGGCCTCTGGCCTGTGTGTATTAATAGATGCTGCCTAAGAGCCGTTTTCCTGCTAAATGCCTTTCCGCATATCTTACACGAATGCGGTTTGACACCTGAGTGAATGCGCATGTGTATTTTTAGTCTACTCTGTCTCGAGAACGTCTTGCCACATTCTTCGCACACGGCATCCTCTCTCTGCTCGTGCTGCTTGAGAATGTGCTCGTCAAGATTCGCTTGACTCACCATTCGCCTGTGACATATCGGACACTCGAATTCGGCTTTATAGTGGGCGAATTTCTGATGCACATAGAGGGAATTACTATTACCGCACGTTTTTCCACATACGTCACAAATAATTGGTTGCTCGCGGTGTTGAAATCTTATATGATTAGTGAGATCGCCTCGTATCTTGTACTTCTTACCGCACGTCTCGCATTCGTGATTGTACTCGTTGGTGTGCTTTCTTATCACGTGCACCTTCATCTCGTACTTATTCTTATTGGTATAGTCACATTGGTCGCAGCTGTAAAAGTTCGGTCGTGTCTGCGACTGCTTCATGTCACTGGCACCCTTATGTCGCCTCTGTATGTGCAAGTAGAGCGATCCTTTTCTCTTGGCCGAGAAGTCGCATTCGTTGCAAAAGTAGCTCAACTCGTCCTCCGTCGTCGTTTCAACTTTTCCCGCTCGATGCTTTCTTTTGTGCGAGTACAGTGTATTTTTATTAGCGCATTTAAAGTCACAAGCGTCGCATTCGTAGCTACGCGGCTCGCCCTCGGATCTTGGCTTATGCTTCCGCGTAATGTGACTTTGCAGGCCCGTACGTGTGAGACATTCGTAGGTGCATAGATGGCAGGAGAACATTTGTTCTTGGGACGGGAGGCAGGTATGGAAGTCGATGTCATCCTGATTGGTACTCGAGAAACCACATTTCGAGCAGGTCAATTCGATCGATTCGAGTTGCTGGACCACCGAGTCGGTCTGGTCTTCGCCGTCCTCGGGGATCTGCTGCTCTTCGGTTTCAATTTTAAAATGAGTCGCCTTGAAGCAGTGCGTCGTGGTGAAGTGCTCGATCATGATGCTCCGAGTAGATGTGCTAAATTCACACGACGGACAAATGAAGGTAAGTATTCTGTTATCGAGGGTTGAATTTTGCTGATCAGGCTGTCGATGCTCGTAAATACACGTTCAGTTGAAGAAGTCACGCTTTGCATTCCGTCCCGATATTTACTCCTCCTCCTCCTCCTCCTCCTCCTCTTCCTCTTCCTCCTCCTCCTCCTCTTCTTCTTCTTCCTCCTCCTCCTCCTCCTCCTCCTCCCCTATAATATTAGCAGCTTCGACAGCTTCTACGAAGGATTTCGAGCTGTGTTTTGGCGATCTACTGAGCACCACAATCTCTGTATCTTCGTAACGATGCTTTGCAGACTTTGATTGCTTTCTGCCGGCCTTACGTTGTTTCAATGGATCATGAGTTGAACGATGCCAATTAAGACGTACTTCGGTTGCGAACTTTAAGCCGCATTCTTCACACGAGAGCAATTTGCACTTTGAAGATTTTGCATCGCTGTTCGTCACTGGCTGTGCGGATTTCGGTTTTATGGGTACAAGAGAATATGAAGGTTTTCCATTAATGTAAGATATTTGGTAAAGGGTCATCGAGGATGACGTGGAAGGGCACTTCATGCTGGAACTAGACGCGATTGTGGTATTGGCAGCTTCGACGATGTACCTTAAACAAACCAAAAAGATGGGATTAGTACAAAACAGTCATGCGAAGAAAACACCAGCCGATCACTACTTACTCTGCACATTACTTATGGATATTTTGTTTTCTTTGTATCTATGGGGTATTTTTTGTTCGAAAGCTATAATTATGCTTCAACTATAAAAAAAAAAAAAATGTAAACTTGATTCAATTATATCTTTCGAATATGCTAGATTTATAATATACACTTTTTTGTATATTACCTAGAATTAGCAAAAGTACTATAAGCCATTATTTCAATAAGAAATAATATTTAAAGATATAATATACGTAATTACGTAGTTATAAAAAAGAACTGATATATAAATTATTCAGGACTTCAAAGAACTCTCATGCAACTTATAGAAATCGAGGCTCTAATAAATAAAAATAAAAATATTAGGCTTTAAAGTATTATTTCATTATCTTAAAATCTAATCGAGCATAAGACTTTGGGTATACATGTTCATCAAATATTTTTTCTTATAGGAAATATAGCTAAATTTTGTGAAACTCACATTCTCACAAATAAGTATATAAATTTATGATCAATGTTAATTGTAACAAAGTAAATATACAAAGCAAGAAATATATATATATATATATATATATATATATATCAATATGAAAATTCAAAATATGAAAATCCACCTCCGAACACTTCTTAAGGAATTAAAAATTCTAATATGCACTTATAAATGTTTAAAATTAGTAATTAATAAAGAACAAAAATGCAAAAGCTTCTATCATAACAACAATTTTTACGTAAAAATATTTGTAAGATGCCCCATATATATTATATTCAATGAATAATTAATTAGTGATTATGTATAAAATATCAAATATAAATATAATAAGTATGAAATAGGAAGACTGTGTATAGAACTTTTAGAAGTTTATACCAATGTTTAAAACATTTAAATAGTAACAAGGAAATTTTATATTTTATCGTTTAAATAAAATTTAGTGATTAATTTATTATTACACTTGATAATAACTATTAGAATTATTATTTAACTTATTATGAATATTAGACTAATTCAATATATCAATATGTGACGATCATTTAGTGAAAACTGTCATGCAATGAATATTTAAAAAAATATTTAACAATATTAGAAGCTTTACATAAATATTATTGCTATCGATATTCATATTGTAATTATATTTGGTTAAAAACAAAATTCATAACACATAAACATTATGTCTCACACGAATGTTCGGTTTGCACATTAAGTCAACACTTTCCAATATCTTTAGAAACGTCTATACTCATCCAGTGTCTTCTGCCTTCAAAATAAGTTTTAATTTTAGAATCTACAAAGCAACTATAAATTCAATTAGAATTTAAGTTTTCTGTAAAATCCATTGTTTTTCTTAGTCACGAACATTGTCATATTCGTGAATACAACTTTCGAGAATATAACTTCAATTTTGTAACTACCAAAACGAATATGCGTTATCTGCTTGCACTAGTATTATTAATATAATTTTTGTACAATAATTTGTTAGGTATTTTAAATAAATTTACACTAGTTTAAAATTTCTTAAAGAAATTTTCTACTACTTTATTACACTTTTTCTTCCAAAACTTGCATCGCTTTTATTTCCTCTTGACTGTGGATCTTAAAGATGAATTATCCTACAATAAGAATAATAAATATTAGTGATAATAAATTCGTATAAACAACGTGTGAAATATAAAAATATTTGCTTAACTTTCAATGTCGATACACCAAGAATTCCATACATGCTGCATACAAAACTATTATTATAACTAATAAATTCTTCTGAAATAAATCTGTTAGATGTATGAGCATTGTCTTGTTTATATCAAACACTCGTATTATTAAAATTTCAAAGATTTTATTGAAAAATTTTTTTACATTTAAAATGTGAGTATTTCAGAATTATTTTATAATTAAATACATTTTATAACTTAAAAAGAAAAACGGTTTAAATTTAAACATTTTCAATGCTAATTTAATATAAATTTTACTGTACGTAACATATAGACACTTAATCGAACAGGTATCTTTTAATCTTATAGAAGTAAAAAAAATAAGTTAAACATATTAAACAAAAAAAAAAGGTAAAGTACAAAGCCAACGAATAATTCTATTTTAACATTATATTACTTTCAATACTTAATAAAAATAAATACTTAGAAAGTGTATGTGAATTATATATAATTCATATATGCAGTCTCTGAGAAGTTAGAAGATTCGATATCTTCAATATTACTACATGTTACCGAAATAATTTTTATAAATATTTATTTCCTACAAAAACTATAACAAAAAGAGGGAAAACCAATTGATAAATTTTACAATACTTTTCAAGAGTTTTGGGATATTAATGCAGAAAATATCATTTGTAATTAAACTAATAGATTGCTTTTTAATCAATACGATATAACAATTTTGATAATAATTTTCATGTATATACAAATTGCATTGTGAATGCTATTTAAAAGTTTTGTTTACAATGTACAGTTAAAAAAAAATGAGAAAAATATTTATAAATTTTTTTACAAACATCATAATTTTATTTATATGTTAGGCTATTAAAAAATTACTAATTGAGTAATCTTTAATTTAATAAAAGAATAATTGATCGTTCGTTAAAAGAAATTTTTCATCCTTTAAATACGAGAGAGATCATTGTGATGGATAAGCAGATTTGTAGTCATATGTTTGTATCATAACTGTTGAAAGTTGAAAATTGGAATGATTGTTTTTCATTTAATAAATTTTTTAAGTACTCCGTCAATATTATCATTATTCATTCTAAATATTTAAATTATCCAATCCTCTACTTAGAATGAAAAGCTTGCAAGCCTTTTTAATCCTATCGTTTATATACACCAAATTATAAACTGATATTATTAAATATCACAACACGTTTATTTATAATTTGTTTTCTATAAATTAATTCAAGAAAATTCTATGCAAATAATAGGGTATTTCACTCACGGCGAAGAAAAACTAATTTTTGAGATGGTAATCACAAGATATAAGATTATGCTCAGCCCTTTGATAAACGTTTAAGTAACAATGCGAAAAACTAGACGGCAGTCGTTCCAGATTGGCAGGATTCATTTGGAGGGAAATCCGTGGTTGTTTCGACGAGCTTGTTTACTTCAGACTGTATGGCATCGAAGAAGTTGGTCAGTATCACAGGCGGTGGTGGCTCTTCCGCATCCGGATGCTTCCTCTTCCAGTGCAGCATCATCGACGAGCGCTGAGTAAAACTAAAGCCACAAACATTACACATGTAGGGTTTGACCTTTGCATGGGTCAGATAATGGACTCTGAGAGTCGCCATGCAGACAAAGGCTTTGCCACACACAGGACAGAGATTGGTCTTCTCCACTTTGTGCACTCGTTTCTTATGCCTCGTTACATAATACTTTTTCGTGAATTTCAAGTCGCACTCGTCGCAACTGTGAAGATTCTTGTGCGACTCCATGTGGCTATTAAAATTCTCTTGCGTCAGTAGCTTCTGATGGCAGATATGACACTGGAACTTATAGTCGTTAAGATGTACCACTCGCCGGTGTTTATAGAGCGAGTCTTGGCTGGTGTACATCCGTCCGCATGCGTCGCACATGTGCTGCGAAGCTCCGTGGGTGCCCAAGTGGAACTTGAGATCCATTTTCATTTTAAAGCGCTTACCGCAATGATCGCATTCGAAATTGTACTCGGTCGTATGCTTTCGTATTTCGTGAGTTTTAAGGTAGTGTTTAGATTTCGCTCTGTAGTCGCATTTGTCGCAGCAGAAGAGATAATCACTGCAATTGTCGCGATGTTGATTCAAATGCATGTTGAATTGATACTTGGATTTGAAGGTCTTGGAGCACTCGGGGCACTTGAAAAGTTCGCGCGGTCCGTGCTTCATTTTTATATGCTGTTTGACCTTGTACCTATGGCTATACTTTTGATGGCAAATTTTACAACCGAAACCCCCGCCCTTTAGTTTTTTATACATCAAGGGTGTAGACTCTTCCATAACACTTAATCGCAAATTATCTTGTGTTTCGGCTGAGCAAGAGGCCATTTCTCGTTTTGTGCTCTTTAACGAAGATTCGATAATTAGAGAGTCGTGATCGACGATATTTTCCTTAGTTATTCTCGACGAAATCAAACTCTTTTTCTTGGACGTTGGCTTTACGAGCTTTTTTGGCATAACTCTGGTTGTTAGTTTACCAGAGTTCTGCTCGCGTTTGAGCGAATTCGAGTGGGTAAGCTCCGATGCCGTTCGCACTCTTATCCTGGATACGGTGCTTTGTTTCCTGAACCAACGTCCAAAGTCTTTCCTAAAACATAAATTCAATTCGTTAATTAACATAGTCACGACGTAAAAGATTTTTTTTTTTTTTTTTTTTTTTTTTTTTTTTTTATGTATTTGTTAGTATTTGTTAATTGAGGATTATAACAATGAGAGGAGCTAAATTATTAGTATTTAAGAATGTTTTAAGCTATTTATTTTTTCACTTAATACTACACAGGCAACAATTATTGGCACTCATTGCGTAATAAATTATTTTATCAATTTATTAGTGCAAAGGTGCGCATATATAAAATAAATTAAAATGAATTTAATATTATAAACGATAAGTAAAGTATGAAACATAGACAAATCTACGAACGAAACATTTTCACGAGTTTTTTAAAATATTGTATTTAGAGTTCTTGTTTGAAAAATAAGCACGTAGAATAAAAGGAAAATCCTCGTATCTTCCGAGAGTAATTCTGGTTAATCTGAAACAAATAATTGCCATTAGCAAAAATGAAAATGTTAAATTATCATAGCAAGAGGAGCTCAAGTCGTAGAAATGTACATTCAACAGTCACGGTCCAATGAAGATAATATTTATTTTAAGCAATTATAAAGTTAAAAAGTTTAAAAGTATTGCTATTTTTAAAAAACAAAAAACAAAATAAATAATAAGTTGGAGTATCAAGCAGCAATTCGTTAATAAAATTTTGTTAAACGTTATTGCAAGTTTCTATAATATAACTATATTACCAATTAAAATAACAGTAACAGAATAGTAATAAAGAAAATAATAAAACCGAGAATAATAGAGCTCGAAATGAAATTTTGCATTTTTGAAAGCAATAATATGTAATTGTAATTATATCAATAATGAAAAAATAATAACAGCAATACGGTTAACAATAATGATATTAACAATGACGTCAACGACAACAACGACGGCGACGAGGATAACGGCAATGACCACAGCGACGACAACGACAACGACGATAATGATAACGACGACGATAACAGCAACAACGACAACAACGACAACGATGACGTCGACGACAAGGGCAAGGACATGGACAACAACAACAACGTATAATAATCATAGGCCAGTGACGGCTGAACGGCTAAATCCCCAATCTCCCTCAGAAATAAAAAACATAGACATTTCTACGCAGCTCTTATCATTCGGCTGGACTTACGTGATGCCATAACTTTGCCCTCTTTGTCAAAGTAATGGTGTATCTCGATCGGAGGGGGCGCAGGCAATCCCCTGTGTTTGCTCTTCCAATGGGTCATAAGCGCCGACCTCTGGGAATAGCCGAGCCCGCAAAGCTCACAAACGTAAGGTTTGACGCCCCGATGCGAGAGCGCGTGGATGCGCATAGTAGTGCGCAGGGCGAAGGCCTGCCCGCACTCCTGGCAGACGTAGGGCCGCTCGCCGCTATGAACGCGCCAGTGCTTCTTCAGGTGATCCTTACTGGAGAGCCGCTTGCCGCATATCTCGCAAGCGTGGCCCTCCGGGAGGGAAGCGGCGATGCAGCCCCATCTCGGGACGCTCGCGAAGGACTTCTCGTGGTTGGGCAAGTGCTCGCGCAAGGAGTTCCGGGACATGAAGAGCTTGTTACAGTGCTTGCAGTTTCGGAGAATCTTCACGCCCTACGATGAAGCAAGCATTCGTATGTTTTGTCGAGGCTTCCAATATTTCGCTTCGATAAGTCGCTGTCATTACCGCGTGTCGGTAGCGAGCGTTTCTACGGGCAACCTTAAATTACACGCACATACGTACGCGCATACATACATACATACATGCATACACACATGCACATATATATATATATATATATGTATATATGTATGTATGTATATATATGTATATATATACATGTATACACACACGCACGCATATATGCATATATTTGTGTCCGATTACTACGATATAATTTAGTGCCGCACGGACGATCACGGTTAATTTTCTCGTGCCGCAGCCCGTAATGGAAAAATTACTTTTTATAACGAAGCGCAGATCGAATGATGGGAATGATAAATCTATCGAATATAATTCACGACTCGTTAAAATTCGATTGTCTTTCGAAGAATATGAAAGTCGATCTTGCTTCGATCGCTAATCGTCTTAATTTTTTGCTTTGCCTGTCGACCGCGAAATAACTGAGAAAGAGCGAGGAGAGCGCCGCTTTTCGTAATTACTTAGTTTAACGTGCCAGCTATTGCATACGGCTTCTACGTAACTTGATATTTAAACTTCAAATGTAACGCCCACCCTCCTCCCACCCTCTAGCAATACGTACATTTTTATAAAAATTCTCCGAGTGAATTTCCTTGAGATGTATAATGAGCTCTTGCTTCGTTTTCAAAATATCGTTGCACATATCGCAGACGTAAGTGGGCTTGGGCTCCCCCGAATTCCGACTCCTCTCTTCCATTTTCTCGTGCTCGTTTTTTGCCCTCCACGTTTTGAAACACTTGGCGCAACATTTGCAGACGTAGCTATAGACGGACGCGTGCTTTCTCAATGCATGGAGCCTCAGAAGATCTTCGTCCTTACTTCTGTGCTCGCATTTCGCGCACTCGAACAGCTTCTTGTCGTCGGCTTGGCGATGCTCTGTGTCGCAATGAGACTTTAGCCGAGACTTCTTCTTGAACGTAACCGAGCAGCTCGAACATTCGTAATTATGGCATTGTGTATGAGCGCGCAACAAATGACGCACCATCAGTGCCTTTTTCTCCACGATCGTTGGAATATTTTTGGCACTACAGAGTTCGCATCCATAATTACCCCCGGACATTAATTTATATACCGACAGCTTGGACATGAGATCTTCCGTGTCTTCCTCGGATGTATCATTCATATGGATTTTATCCGGCGAATTATTTAGGATATACTTTCGAATTGCGGACAGATTTCTAGGTTTGTCGATATCTGCTTCTTTTGCGAGGGACTTACTCCGATTCGATGACCTACAGGTTATACCATCAACGGGTATGGAAAGATCGATAGATTTTACTGGCTCCCTGTAACGTGCAAATAACAATACATTTAACATACGAATCATTCCATCCAAGATTTCAATACTTACTTGCATATCTTTGAAAGAAACAACAACAAGCGAACAAAAAAAATATTAAACACAAATATTAAAATTTAACAGAAATTAAAATTAAAACTATTAGTAATGCAGCTTTAGGCTCTATTAAAAATCTTCATCTACGAAGCTTTGTATTATGATAGAACGTTTATTCTAAAAAGCTACGCACAGTTTATTAATTAAAATATTAATCGCTATGAAAAATTGAAAAGACAAAAGACTCTTTTGAGAAAATAATATAATAATGAGATATTATTAAATTAATCCAAATACTTGGAGAGCACCTGGCACAAACTTCTAATGCCCGAACAAATGTAGAAAACGTCGACGATGCTTCTTCGCTTCTGCAACTTTTCTCTCCAACTGCGGTAGGCATACCAGAGGATTTCGTCGTCGTAGACGTTGAACGGACTTCGCGATGTTGCATATCGTGTCTAATTTAATTAGCCGCGAAATAGATAATTTTCACAATGAAATAGGACGTTAAATAACGTCATACTTATGTTAAATAGAATTTAAAAAGTGAAGATATACTAGTTGAAGAGATTTCACAAATTGTATATTAAAATACCAATACATTTTTAAAATTTATTTTATCACTGAGATATACTTTAAAGGCTGCTTTAAGTAAGAAAAGCTTTTTCATTCATTTTTACAACAAACAAATAAGATAGACAAGAAAAGAAAAGAAAAAAAAGACAAATAAAAGAAAATCGTAGAGTCAAAATCAAAATACTTTATAATGTGGGTTGTTGTATATTTTTTTGACTAAATAAACTCAATAAAAATTATTAAAACGTTTATTTTCAATTTCAATATGTATATTTTAGTCTATTTATTAATTAAATTTTTTTACTAAATAATCCATAATAAGTATGTAGATAATACCTTTTTCCAATACTTCACGTACACAAAGAAAATAAAATAAATAAATAAAAAAAAGCAGTTTTATTTTTTGTTGTCACGTAATACAGACTTGTTTTTTCTTTTTTTTCTAACTTTTCTTTATAATAACAGTAATTCTAACCTTATTTTAATGTGCTATTTAAATGCATGACAGAGTATTAAATGCAGAAATATAAACTAAATTCTAAAATTTAACTATTAAACCGTGACTTATTTCACAAATAAAAATAATAAAATAGAATCCCGAAGATACACTTGATTGCGATACACGATAGGCATCTGTAAACATCGTTTCTTTTTAGTGCTGCAATTTTCCTTTGCATTAAAACTTATTGTTTTGATAACAAATAATATTTCATCCACTAATAAGTAATAATATTCAAATTATTAAGAACTGATGTATTCTACAAAATATAATTTATTTTTAATGAAATTTAAAATTATATACATGGAGATATAATTTTTATCTTAAATAAACTAATTACTTTTAATAACAAAAGAAAAAGTTATCTACACACCTTCCTTCTTAAATAGTGATTCCTTCCACCGATATAATTTTTTTTACATCTGCATGCAATAGAAAATCGATTGATATGTTGGATAGGTAAGCATACAAAATGGTCGTTAAGCCAAATCCAATGACTATTAATTAATTGTAAAAAATTGGCAATATATTCAGATGGTGTATATGCAAATATACATATGCATACACATATGCACACGCGCACGCACACACAAACAAACAAACAAACACACATTCATTTGAATGCATGGCACGCTTGCATGCCACGTGCTGCCCCCTGCACAAAATGTTCACTTGATTGTTTCACTTTCGTCTCACATCAATATACAAGAAAAATGTTTTATATAACAAAATAATTAACTATCTATCTCTTTGCGTATAATAACATTCATTTGACAATAATAAAGTAATGTAAATATTAGATCAATTAGTTTATTATAAGAATAGTAAAAATAAAACAAAAAAAAAAAAAACAAAAAAAAAAACAAAAAAAAAATACCAAGACTTAATTTTCTCCAATTAACTAAAAATTAATATTCTCCATTTTTAATAATTAAATCACTGAAGCTATCACAAACAAAGCTTTTTTCCCAGTACACTTGGTAGCATTATTTTCTTTGTTCCGTTTTCTTTCCATTTTGTTCCTCGATACTCTTTAGGATGTTCTTCAAAATTACCGGCGGAGGCGGATCGGTTTCTCCAGGATGTTTCTTCCTCCAATGGAGCATCATCGGCGTTCTTTGAGTAAATCCTAGACCACAAACATTACATCTGTAGGGCTTAAGACCGGCGTGAATAAGCGAGTGAACCTTTTGCGTGGGTTGATCGGCGAAAACCTTCCCGCACTCGGGGCATGGAAAGGCTTGCTCCCTCGTATGTACATTTCTGTGTTTAATAAGATTATATTTGCTAGGAAATTTCATCCCACATTCATCGCATTCGTACGTCCTATTATGCAATTTCATATGATTGGACAAACCCTCCTCCGTAGCCAATTTCTTCTTACACATTAGACATTGAAATTTATATAGATCTAGATGTAGTCTACGATGAGCACGTAATAAATGCTCACCTCTGTATAATTTTCCACATATGTCACACATATGCTGGATGCCGCTGTGTGTTACCAGATGATCCGCTAATTCTCGCTTAACCTTAAAGCGCTTCCCACAATGTTCGCATGTGAAGCGAAATTCATTCGTATGCACCCGATAATAGTGATAACGTAGGGACACTTTATTGGGTGTACGATAATTGCACTTTTCGCAAGGATAAGTTTCGACAGCGTTCTTAAGGTTGTGCGACAATTCGTGAACTTTCAAGGAGTACTTACGTTTAAAAGTTTTATCACAAGAATTACATTTGAAAGGCCGCAAATGACTGTGCTGGCCAGATATGTGAAAAAGCATACTGCGCCGATCTAGTCTCGTTAATTGACAAATATTGCACTGGTAACCGCCGTAATCTATTCGGGTGTAAATTTCCTTCATGTCCTCGCTCACCTCGTCTTTATAATCATTGTCTTGATAATCATTGTCATCGTCATCAGTATTAATGGCTTTACAAGTTGCTAAAGGAACTTCATCCGAGGTAGAAGGCAGTTCTTGCATAAAAGTTAGTTCGTCAACCGTTGTCGATCCAATCTGCGTTGAGAGATAATCTTGATGCATTAAAGGATCTTCGATTTTTAAGGTTTCTTGTTTCAATTGAAGCTCTTTAATGATAGGAGGTACTTGAAGTTTAACAATTTTTTGAGATTTTGGAATTTTTAACGATTTCAAGGTATTCAATTTAATATTTTTGATTTTTCTCTGCGATTCCATTACAGGTATAACAGGTACGAAAATACGAAGAGGGTCTTGAGGAGAATCTAATTCATTAATTTCTTGTTGCTTCTGTCGCTGCTCCGACGATTGCAATATTAATTCAGAATGCTGTTCCGATTGTAATATCAATTTTTGCTCTTGTGGTTGTTGTAATACTAAAAGCCGCTGCTGCGATTTTTCTTGACTTTGTATATGTTCCATCATTAACAATGGTTGCTGATGTGACTGTTCTAATAGTAAATACGATTGTTCCTGTTCCTCCTGAGATTGTGGCAAAACTAGCAATGGTTGCTGTTGCTGTGGAGCAACAATTTGTTGCTGTTGCGGTTCTTGTTGCATCTCAAACTCATTTTTTATCCTGATGAAAATTAATTGGTTGTTAGGTCCTTGTAAACAGAAGGTCTGCGACCTAAAACAAAAATTCGATTAATTAGTCAATAATATATATAATTTTTCATCTTTAATAATTCATCATATCATTTACGTACTATTTGTAGTTGTTGTTAAATTTTTATAATTTGATTAGTTTTTATTAATAATTGTGTGTAACATCCGTTTCGGTATTTTTTCAGTTTTAATAACATTTTATGAAAAAAGCTAATTTTTATTTTTAAGCTTTCTCTGAAATAAGAAATAAGCATTCCCTTGATAAAATATAAAAATGTAGTTTATAATATTCCATATAATATTCGTTAAAAGATAATATTTGTGCTTCCCATAATAATACAAATATATTGTTATTTTCTATATATTAGGACTGATTCGTTAAAAAAAAAACTATACACTATATACACAGTCTTACTAATCTGATTATTGTGAAATTTACATAGTAGATAGTTTAATATGTAAAAAATATTTTTATTTTACTAATTAGGCAAGTTTGATTAAATATAAACTAGTATTATGTTTATATTATCGAAACTAATTTCAATATATTTTTGTTTATAAATGGTATTAACTTTGATTGTTTTTTTTTTACAATCTTACTTTCGCCTCCTCAAAAAACATTAAACAGATTGACGAACTACGTTAATATCCAAAACTCAGTATTAAATATTTTTTGGTATAGCATTAGCTGTACTCTCTCTCTCTCTCTCTCTCTCTCTCTCTCTCTCTCTCTTTCTCTCTCTTTCTTTCTCCCTGAACAAAGCTTTTCATAAATAATATAGAAATAATTAGTAATATCCATATAAAGATATTACTAGGTACTATATTTATTCTGTTGATTATAAAATATTTGATAATTTTTATTACATAAAATCTATAATATTTATTTCGTATAAATGTGTGCGTATAAACAATTGTGTAAATGGGAATAGAAATGGTATTTCATTACACGTAATATATATATAAATAAAATTTCAAATTAAGTTTGACAGAAATTAATTAATTAATAAGTTATATAATTCACATAGATGTTAATTTTTACATAAAGATGACATTTTTATTTTTATTGTTCAAAAATTATTTTATTATTAATCTATTCTGTGATAATTTAAAAGTGTATATACAAAGTATCTTACTTCATTGATTTTTTAATAATTATAAATTAATAATATAATGCATTTTAGTC